ACTATTTTTGGATAGTACAAGCAATTGTTTTCCCATTTCGTCTATTTTTCTACCAAAATCAAATGACTCTTTGTTTCTTCTCCGTAATAAACAATTAAACATAAAGATTCGTGTGCCGGTTGATTCTTAAACCAAATATACCAACATGATAACAACAGCCCAACAATTCTGAAATCTCTTTCATTAACCACAAAAGTAAATTAATACTAAGATTATGGGCAGCAATCAAGGCGTGGACATCTAGAGGGGAATGTTCGTGAACTGAAAATATGCATGCATCATCCACGAAAAAAACAATTATTTAAAAAACAAAGTGTGTCAAAAACACGCTTACCCAACAACGCTGTATTTGAATGCAAAGAACAAAACCCATTTTCCGCCCACTTGTTACGACCTAAAATGATATAAAATACCCCTAAATTACATCACTTTATTGAAAAATAACGAATCAAAAACATAAATGGGTTATCGTAACGGGTTACGTGGTAGAATGTTTCAGTTTCTCAGATTATTAATGATATTTTTAGCATTTCATGCATGTATCTTGTAGTTGGATATTTATCAATTATTTATTATTTTTCGCGGTATTATTATTGAAAAATGAAAATTGAAAAGAGAGAGGGAAAAAATTCTCAAATTTTGAAAATATATAATGATATTTATAGAGAAAATGGGCATAACTATTACATCGAAAGTCAATCACTACGAATTGTGTATGTTTTTTTTCTTCTTCTTCTAAGGATCATATTATGAATATATATATATATATATATATATATATATATATATATATATATATATATAAGTATTATATATATGTCCAACATTCTAAACTTAAAACTTTCCGCTTATGAAAGCAGACGAATAGAAGAAAGCCACATAGGTTTCTACTTTGGAATATTCTCTCTAAAATTCAGGACATTGTGGTTATAAATAGTAATCCAGGTTGGGTTTGGTTGGAACTTGGATTAAGTTAACATCAAACTTTGTCCTTTTTCTCTTTGGCTAGCCAACACTAAGTTGCTTTTTCACTCTCCAAGTCCAACCCATGTTACCCCTATAAAATCGTACGGAGTAGCTTATGAAGACACAAAGTATTAGACTCGTGAATCAGCAATTGATTCCCCACTATCACTTTCTCTCTTCTGTCTTCACTGTTTTTCAGATGCTTACGCTATATAATGTACGAAAAAACCCTAATTAATTATAAAACCCTTTTCTTTCTGAAAAAGAAAGGGACAAAACAACACTTGCGTTCAACTTTTACAAGTAAATAAATGCCCTAAGGTCATTCAGTACTCACTAGCTAGCTTTTCCTTAACTCTAAGCCATGTGAATGATGATCTAAACAAACATGTTCAACAGCAACTATGCTTGCAGATGCTATACTAATTAAAATATGGTTTTTCTATTTGAAAACTGGAAACATTTTAAATTTTTAACGTTACACAAAAAATCGTTTAGTATACTACTCCGTGTCGATCTACCAAGCTCTCCTAAAATTATATTGTTAAGATCTCGATAAATCTTTAGAAATAAAGAATACTGTTTTTTAAAAGTATATTCAAACCCTCTTTACTAAATCAATCAAAGACTCAAAATGAAGAAAACCCTAAGTTCAAGTGTACTATTTATAAGAAAATCCTAAAACCTATAATAGTTCTAACAAAAACTAGAAAACGTACAATCCTAATTAAAAAATACGTAGATAAATGTTTTTAAAACTTGCAAACCGATTTTTTTTTTTTCTATTGGCTGTTGAAATCTTTGAATGTTAGTACTTGATCATAATGCATTGTACTTCTTTTAGCAAACGTCACAGCAAATTTAGCATGTAAAAGCAATTGAGCCCTAGCCTTTTCTTTTACCGTATAACTTGCAAGAAAGAAAGGCTAGCTAGAAAGTGTGAGCCGTTTCTTTTGAAGAGAGTGGGAGAGATTTTTGAGATTCTGGGTTTCCGGTAATGGAAATGCTTTCCCAGCTTGTGTACTGTGTCTGAATAAAGAAATGTGTATACAATAAGAAACTAGACACTATTGATGCACTGTGAGCATAATAATATATGTTATGCTAGTTGTGTGTTGTATAGTGATCACTTTAACTAGCAAACCAAAACTTTTCAAGGTGTATAGCAGACATGAATTCACAAGTAGATCCATAAATTATAGTTTCCCACAAAATTCGATGAGACCATGCATAGGGGGTTTGGTACGAAGAATACCTTTTGATGTGTATTATATATGACAAGTAGATCTCAGTTTTTTTCTTTTCATATTATGTTGTTTCCAAAATTAATTAGTACTCAGCATCTAGTACTAGCAACATTTTACAATATGTTTCAAGTGGATGAGAACGCATTACTTACTCAGTGAACTAGTAATGTATGTGAATCAGAATTTGTGTATTCGCACCAAGCAGATGCAAAGATGATTTGAACCATCAGAAGTGTGATATACAAGAACTTCGTCTTGTTTTACAGTCCTTACTCCGAATCTCCGATCCAAGCGTCTTCAATGACATAAATAAACTTCCATTCCTGTCATATTTTTGATATATATACTAATAGTGATTCTGTGTATACTTATCTGGATGAGACAATTAATTAGTTCAAGTATTTTTTTCCAGAAACGTCAAAATTTTTAATCTGTTTATATGAAAATAGCTAGAATTAATTGGTGATTTTTAATAGAATTTTTCTTATTATTATTATTTTTTTAAATAGATTGTTCCCTATGGTATATATAGTGCATACTTTATCATGACGACACCCTACAACCATGCAGAGAATTCCTCATTTTATTTTCCAATCTCTACTCTCTTCTTTCCCATATATGAAGAAATCAAGAATGAGATAAGTCATATAGTTGACACACTATTGGAACGAATATAAAAATTAAATAAATAATAGAGGATCTATATATAACGTAAGCATGAGAGTAAAAAGTTATGACATAATTTAATTGAGAAAAGGTGGAAAAAGGAGCTGACCTGCAGACGTAATCTGTCGACAAATATCAATCTACACATATATATATATATATATATATATATATATATATATATATATATATATTGAGTCTTTGATCACCACATGTGGTCCTAAATTTTGAACCAACGCATAGAAATGAACTAGAAAGTAACATATAGCAACCTTTGGCCGCTCCAAACGATCATGCTTTACTTTTTGATATTGTGTCCTATTACCTAAAGATGCTTTTACTATTTAATTAAGTTTTACAATTATTAAGTGAATACCGACAAGCGACATAAGCAAATTAAAGTATGAGAATTATAATAGGAGAAAATAATTTGACTTTTGTTGTACGTAGCACACAAGCCCGATGCACCAAAAAAAAAAAAAAATTAGAGTGAAACTCGAATCGTTATCCATCAATATAAGTTATTTGTTTCAACTAATGGAGGATCTAAAGGCAAGAATACGTCATACCACTTGAAATTTAGTGGAGACCGAAAACTTAAGCATTACGTTTTGATGTATGTACCAAACTATACCAATAGTGTTGTTATAAAATGAGTGTGTGCATCTTTAATGTAGATGTGTTGGCATATTTGAAAGCGTTTTTCAGCACTTAGCTTTCCAGAGATCCAATTTCATTCGGATTCTATGATTCTGGATTTCGTCCGATTACTTATTTGAAACGAATTTTATGAAACAAATGCATCGTAAAATTTAATCTCAAAATGCTATATCGAATCTAAACACATGATGCGAAACCAAAGTGTACATCTCATGGCTCAAAATGGTTTGCATAAGCAATAATCATCTTTTTGACTATGTTAGTGGAGCCTTTATGAGCCACTCCTTAAACTTTTAAATTCTGACCATGAATTAAATTTAAATCGAGCTTATATATATATATAAGCAATGCTTACACATGTTAAGGAACCATTGGTTAACATAGTTCAAAAAATTTACTAGATAAAGAATATAAATAAAGAATTTTATGTATTGGCCACATAGAGTTATTGTTTGTCTCCCATTGCTTTTGTTGACGCATGACATCCACATGAAAATATCAATCTCATCCATAACTATTGTCTCACTCACATATCATCCAAGCAAACTATAGCTTTCACAAAGGAGGTGTCAATTTACATCAAAAAAGAATTTATTTTAGGTGTAGTGTGGATAAGAATAGTGATTCAAACGAACAAACACAGTCATGGATCGATCTATTTCCATTACTAGAACAAATGATCTTTAGAACCCATCCAATCTAAAGTTATTAGCCAACATATATATAGTAGCCAATAGATAGAGGGAAGAAAAACAACAGTTGCTAGTTTTCTACACATACAAAATTTTACAAGATAACAAGAGACTATAATAACATTGACAACATCTACAATTGGCACAGTGAAATATTTGAATCATTTATCCTTCATTGTAATTCACAAACTGAAAGAAATGGGACAAAGAATCTCTAGGGAACACACTATCTCCCAATAGCAACCAAATTTTGAGTTCCGAGACGAACACAAAATGTGAGTAACTCATTTACGGTTTTGAAATTACAAGATTTTAGAAATTCGAATTGACATTATGTATTGTCGGTGTGTTGTCTTATTACCTCTTTATGGGAATCGATACAAAACAAACACTCTCATTCCACGTGTGTCAATCACGTGCTGCTTCTTAAACAAACACTCTCATTCCAATTTCCACCTACCCGAACGTACTAGAATACTCATTTTCAAGCCCAATAAACATCAATGGTTAGCCCGCAGATGACTATAAAATGGGCCTAACCAGTGGCCCATTAAGAAAAGGGAGGTTAAAAATGTAAATACAAGAAAATGTTTGGTGAGTCCTAAAAATTGTAAACCAGATTTCTAATTTTCTCTCCATCTCATCTTTGTCTCGGTCTCTCTCTCGAGTGTGTGTGTATCTAAGGCAAAGAGAGAGATTTGAGAAAACTGAATTACAAAAAAAAAAAAAAAAAAAAAAAAAACAAGACAACAAAAAAAACATCAAATTTGTGATAGTTGAAATCGAAAACGGTGAATACAAGTTCCCGCCATGGTGGCTCAGCAGCTTCAAGAGAGATGCGGCAATTCTCAAGAAGATCCTGTTGAGACCACCAAGTCTCTGATCTGTGCTCTCAATTACATTTCTCGTGACCTTCCTTTGCCTCCTCACCTCTTCGCCGCCGTTTCTTCTATCTACCATGGCGCTTCTTCTTCTCTTTCCGACTCCGATGTCTCTCCGCCGCTACCTACTTCGCCGCCTGTAAGCCCATCCAATTCACTCTTGAGCCCCTTTTTTGTTTTGTGCTTTGTTTGGGGGTTTTGAATCGATTTATGTGGTCCTGTGATTTGTTTTTGTAGCTTTGCTTCGAGTTTAGGTTCAAAGTTTTCTCCTTTTTCGAGTTTCTATGGAAATTGGATATCTCCAGTGACTTGTTTTGTCAATTTACAGTGTAAAGGTTTTTGTTTTAATTTGTGATTTGGTCTCTTTGTTGTTTTGCAGGGGAATTATTTAACTCCCTATGGAGGTGATTTGATGGGTGAGTTCGAGGATGCACTTTTGAAGCAGAGACCAAATTGTGAATCAGGCTCTCGATTGATAGAATTACTCGATAATCGGAATAAGACTCATATCCAACGCCGCTTATCTGAACTTGAAGGTTATTATCGTATTTATTCTCCCAAGTTATACTTCAATCCATTCTCAAGTTGTGATTTTGTTATGCTTGGCAACATTTTTTTGTTACTGGAGAAATATTGTGAATTATGTTGCTAAAACCCTTTATTCTTCAAGGGGAATGCTTACTCTTTGTGTTTTTAAATCAGAATTACCTTCCACTAGAGGTGAAGACTTGCAGGCAAAATGCTTACTTGAGCTTTATGGGCTTAAGGTATCTTCGTCGCTAGATGTTCTCATTGATCTTTGTTGTTATGTTACATTGTTTGAATTGTTTTATCTTTGACATTGACACTTTACCTTGGTGAGTCACAGCTACGAGAATTGCAAGGCAAGGTTCGAACCGCGGTGAGCTCGGAATTCTGGCTACGTCTGAACTGTGCAGATGTCAGTAGCCAACTATTTGACTGGGGCATGATGAGGTTGCCTCGTCCATTTTATGGGGTTGGAGATCCTTTTGCTATGGAAGCTGATGATCAGTTCAGAAAGAAGCGTGATGCTGAGGTCATTTACTTTTTATTCAGCTAGCATATTCTGGTGCAACTTTTTTAGTTCCTGGACTTTATTTTAACCCATGAAGATGAAGTTTCCTGATGGCATAAATGATGGGCATAAGGCCTTTTGAACTATGGCTCATATATCTTTGCAGTACGACTAGACATGTGTAAAAATATATCACTAGATTCTGTTTTGTTGGAACTCATTTAAATGGATTTTATAGAATTGAAATGAAAACTGTACACAATTTCTAGTGCTTATGACATGATAATTTATTTATAGTTTTCAAACTTCTTGATTTGCATTGCTGATGTGTTAAAAGTCTTTGTTCAGAGGTTATCACGTTTAGAAGAAGAGGAGAAGAATCTGATTGAAACCGCTAAGAGGAAATTCTTTGCAGAAGTACTTAATGCAGTTCGTGAATTCCAGTTGCAAATTCAGGCGACTCAAAAACGCCGTAGGCAAAGGAATGATGGTGTGCAGGTATAATAGAGTTTACTTACGCGGTTATTGTGACAGTAGTTCCAGTTATCTTTTAATATTACCAATATACAAACATCTAAAATTTATTTTTTGTCTACATTATTCGAACAGGCTTGGCATGGGAGACAAAGACAACGCGCTACCCGTGCTGAAAAGTTGAGGCTCATGGCCCTTAAGTCCGATGATCAAGAGGCATACATGAAACTAGTAAAGGAGAGTAAAAATGAAAGACTAACCACTCTTTTAGAGGAGACAAACAAACTCCTTACTAATTTGGGAGCTGCTGTTCAACGTCAGAAAGATGCTAAACTTCCGGAAGGCATTGATCTACTTAAAGACTCAGAATCTGACTTGTCTGAACTTGATGCTCCAAGAAGTGAACCATTGCAGGATCTGCTTCCTGATCAGGATATTGATATTACTGAGTCTGACATTAACGATGACTCTAATGATTTACTAGAAGGACAGAGGCAGTATAACTCTGCTATTCATTCAATACAAGAGAAGGTAACGTTGATCTCTATAGTACACTTAGTAGCAGTACGGTTAACTGTTTAAACCACTGCCATCTCAGAGACGAGGGAATTTATAGTAGGAATATATACTTTTAACAGGTGACGGAGCAGCCCTCGCTTCTAGAAGGTGGGGAACTACGATCCTATCAATTAGAAGGGCTCCAATGGATGGTTTCTCTATTCAACAATAACCTCAATGGAATTTTAGCTGATGAGATGGGTTTGGGAAAAACTATTCAAACAATTTCTCTGATTGCGTATCTTCTGGAGAATAAAGGTGTGCCTGGGCCTTATCTTATAGTTGCTCCAAAAGCTGTGCTACCAAATTGGGTAAACGAGTTTGCAACATGGGTACCAAGGTATGTTGCAAACAATAGTTCTCTTAGTCTGGGAACTTGCACTGGTATGAATGTTATGTCTGAAAATCAGCCATTCTGTTTTTTGACAGCATTGCAGCTTTTCTTTATGATGGACGTTTAGAGGAAAGAAAAGCAATAAGGGAAAAAATTGCAGGAGAAGGAAAATTCAATGTGTTGATAACCCATTATGATCTTATCATGAGAGATAAAGCATTTTTGAAGAAAATTGAGTGGTACTACATGATTGTTGATGAAGGACATCGGCTGAAGAACCACGAATCTGCTCTAGCAAAGACTCTACTAACAGGGTACATCTCTATATTCATTTTTCTGAAGTGAATGATGTTAGCTAACTATTATGTTTATGGCTGCTCTGATTTATCTCCTAGAGAATGATGAGGACTTTGAGTATATTTTCTAACAAAACTTTTTCCGGGATGCAGCTATCGTATAAAACGCAGACTTCTGTTAACCGGGACACCCATACAGAATAGCCTTCAAGAACTATGGTCATTGCTTAATTTTCTCCTTCCTCACATCTTTAACTCGGTTCAAAACTTCGAGGAATGGTTTAATGCTCCTTTTGCTGACCGTGGTAATGTCAGTCTTACGGATGAAGAGGAGCTCTTGATTATCCACCGTCTGCATCATGTGAGTTCTTTACCTCTCTTTCCTTAAATTTCTTATCAAAATCTGTATGCAATGTTTTAATGTAATTCACTCTGTCACTTTCAGGTTATAAGGCCGTTTATACTGAGAAGGAAAAAGGACGAAGTAGAGAAATTCCTTCCTGGAAAGACACAGGTCATATTGAAGTGTGATATGTCGGCATGGCAGAAAGTGTATTACAAACAAGTTACAGACATGGGCAGGGTTGGCCTTCAAACAGGTTTGTAGCCTAACTCACGTATACTCTCTCCATAATTTTGCACTCATCTTTGAGGTAGAGAAAATGAATCAGAAAGTGAAGCTGATTTTATGCAAACTTAATCACCATGTGCAGGATCTGGGAAATCAAAGAGTCTGCAAAATCTAACGATGCAATTAAGAAAGTGTTGTAACCATCCCTATCTATTTGTTGGAGGAGACTACAATATGTGGAAGAAACCTGAGATTGTGAGAGCTTCAGGGAAATTTGAACTCCTTGATCGTCTCCTTCCAAAACTGCGCAAGGCTGGACATAGGATTCTTCTCTTCTCCCAAATGACCCGTCTCATTGACGTTCTTGAGATATACTTGACACTTAATGATTACAAATACCTTAGACTCGATGGTACCACAAAGACAGATCAAAGAGGGCTTTTACTGAAGCAATTCAACGAGCCAGATTCTCCCTACTTTATGTTTCTTTTGAGCACACGTGCCGGAGGTCTTGGTTTGAACTTGCAAACTGCAGACACTGTTATTATCTTTGACAGTGATTGGAACCCACAAATGGACCAACAGGCTGAGGATCGAGCGCATCGCATAGGGCAGAAGAAGGAAGTCAGAGTGTTTGTTTTGGTTAGCGTTGGCTCCATTGAAGAAGTAATATTGGAGCGTGCAAAGCAAAAGATGGGCATTGACGCTAAAGTCATACAAGCTGGACTTTTCAACACAACTTCCACTGGTATGTCTGCCCAAAAGAACAATGTGAGGGCTTATGCTTTCTATATCGATATGGTAATCTCTTGATGTGGGTTTTGTGATTATATCAACAGCACAAGACCGAAGAGAGATGCTTGAAGAGATTATGCGCAAAGGAACAAGCTCGCTCGGGACAGATGTCCCCAGTGAGAGAGAAATAAACAGGCTCGCGGCTCGTAGTGAGGATGAATTTTGGATGTTTGAGCGAATGGATGAGGAGAGACGAAGGAAGGAGAATTACAGAGCCCGTCTGATGCAAGAGCAGGAAGTCCCTGAGTGGGCGTACACTACTCAGAGCCAAGATGAGAAGTTGAACAGCGGAAAGTTCAATTTTGGGAGTGTCACAGGTAAGCGAAAACGTAAAGAGATCGTTTACAGCGACACACTAAGCGAGTTACAGTGGCTGAAAGCCGTGGAGAGCGGTGAAGACCTGTCAAAACTCTCTATGAGACATAGGAGAGAGGAGAACACAAGCAACACAAAGACACCAACGAGTAAAAAAGCGATAGAACCTATCCAAACTGTGAGTGATGGGACAAGCGAGGAGGAGGAAGACGAGGAAGAAGAAGAAGAAAGAGCAAAGGAGATGAGCGGAAAGCAGAGAGTGGAGAAGTCTGAAGAAGAAGAAGAAGAAGGTGAAGAAGAGAATGATGGAAAGGCAATATTCAAGTGGAATACTCATAAGAAGAAAAGGTCTAGATACTCTTTTACGTGTTCTTCGTCTGACTCTAGAGCTCAAAGTTCCAACGGAAGTAGACGAAAATGAAGAAGGTGAGGTGAGATCTGAGTTGACTTTGGTCTCTTCTTCTACGTGTTTGTGTGTCTTCTACAAGCATTTAGATGTTCTTCTTGCCAATGTAACTTATTCCAATCTAACATGTAATACATTTATTTTAATTGCTCTCTGGTTAAGTTTAGTTTTTAGATTTTTTTGTTTAAAGGTATTACTAAGGTACATGTTTCTTATGTAGAATGATTTATTTGGGATTGAAAAACTCATTTCATCAAAAATAAAACATATGTAATATTTTTCTCAGAAGATCTAAGAGACCAATTCATTTTTCGAGCCACTCTAAATGTACACTTGCCAAAATAAATGTATGCATATGATCTTCTGATAAAGCGCAGCATTTTTAGTAAACTCAGCATCCAAACCACTCTCTATTAGTACAATACAAACTAATAAAAGATAAATACACTCACAAATTCATCTTCAAAATCTTCAAGCTTCTCTCTTAAATCATCATCATCCATGTTGCCTTCACTCTCTTCATGATCCTCATTTTCTTCTCCAAGAGGGTCATTCTTATCCAAAGGTCCAAGTAACTTACGACAATTCTTGAATATCTCTTTGATTTCCTCAATGCCTTTAACAGAGATCATATTCCCATCAATGTTCAACATCTTAAAACTTTCTTTTTTGATAACAACACGAGCCAAGCCCAATGCTCCTTCTCTTCTCAAGTCATTGAAGCTCATATCAACATATTCTAACTCCAAACCATCCATACTCTTTACAAACTCTTTTGGTGAAGATTGTTACCGACTGAATTTGGGATTCAACTCCGGTTATCAGCGTTAATGTTTAAGATAATCGTAAATAATCGTTATCTTAGCATTACTATCCTCTTACGTACAGCTCTACTTATCCTAACAACATCTAAATATTCATTGAGTGTGTTTTTCATAGTTTACTAAATAAATAATATATTAGAGACTTTCTGGACCGTTGTGGTCGGCCACAAAGTAAACGTGTATGAGGTTTGAACAAAATGCAAAGAGATACTATTGTTCTATTTTAGTAATGCGAGCACTTGAAATGAAATCTTGTGAGGCACGAACACGCTTTGCATCCGAAGCTTTAATGCAAATTTTCATTGAAGAAGCAAAGAAAAGCGAGGAAACGTAAGCACTACTTAAAAAGAGCCTCCAAATAATATGAAAGTTTAAGTTAATAATGTTAGAACATGTTTGGCTCTGATCTCGATCCATAACCATAAGTGAGATTTAGTTCAAGATGGACCAAAAGATTTCATGGAGGAAATAGTGTTAGAAAACCCACATATAAAATAAGATGGACATATTTATCATCAATCCATTAATTGGTTTCACATTATCTACCAATAAAATATGAAAAAATGTTAGGAAATCGAAAGATAAAAAAATATATACTACTAATAAGGTTATTACGTTGAAAATAGTAAAGCTTAGATTGATCTTTTCAAACCACATATCAAAAGGGGTTTTTCAACCACCATATATTAGGTAAATTACCTAATCATCAACATGGCTAACTAACATATCAAAATTACATAAATTATGATATTGAATTCTGATACTTCGTGGAACAAGTTACAAATGTAATAATGTTTGAGTATGAGGAAATAATAAAGCAGAAAATTGAACGAAAACAAAACTTAACGGACCGAATCGAACCGTGCCGGTCATCAATTCCAATTTACCAATGTAGACCGCAACAGAAATAACGGAATAGAATAATAATTTTTTGTCGTCTTTGAAAAAAAAAAAGCCAAAAAAAATTCCGAAATTTGAAATAAATAAATAAACATGTTCGTGTCGTAGCTCTCTGACCTGTTCCTCTAATTCTCTCATTCTTCATCAAATTCTCTGGAGCTGGAGGGTCAACCCCCTCCTTCTTCCAACCTAAACCTCTCTTTCATGCTAACTTCTTCTCAACCACCACCGTCTCCGCCGCCATGTCCCCTCTCCTCCTCCTCCTCCTCACCGTCTTCTCTCTCCTCTCCTCTTCCCTCTCTCAGCCCTCTCCTCCTTCAGGTATCTCTCTCATTCTCTTTGTTCCATTGCGTGAATTCGTATTCCTTCCAATTTCCAATTTTGTAATATTTCTAATTTTACAATTTAGCGATTCTAATCGATTGTGGCGCCTCTTCCTCCTCCGTAATCGACGGCCGACAATGGCAATCCGACGAGAATTTCGTCTCCAGCGGAACACCAAAAAACGTCTCCGATCAAGTGCTCGACGAAATTTTATTCACCGTCAGATCTTTCCCTCTTGACCTCGACGGAACTCGTCACAAGTTTTGCTACGTGATGAGCGTTTCTCGTGGCTGGAAGTATATGATCAGGACGACATACTATTACGGAGGAGTTAACGGTAAAGGTACTCCACCGCCGGTATTCGATCAAATTGTCGATGGGACGTTGTGGGGGATCGTCAATACCACCGCCGATTACGCCGATGGTCTTGCTTCTTATTACGAAGGGGTTTTTCTGGCGCAAGGGAAATCTATAAGCGTCTGCATTGCTTCTAATTCTTATACAACTTCTGATCCATTTATCTCAGCCTTGGAGCTCGTTAGGCTTGATGGTACTCTTTACAATTCCACTGACTTTACCACTGTTGGGATGAGTCTTGTTGCTAGGCATGCTTTTGGATACAGTGGACCAATCATCAGGTATAAAGTTCACTACTTTGATATAAAGTTTGATACTTTCTCAGAAAAATTGTCCCTTGGATGCTAAATCTTTCGAAGCCAAGGCAATGTATTCACCATTATCAACATTCCTCTTGTTTAGGTTTCCAGATGATCAGTTTGATAGGTTTTGGGAGCCTTATTCGCTAAATTCGACAGTACCAAACAATAGGAAACTAGAGGTTTCTGGTTTCTGGAACCTTCCGCCTTCGAGGATATTCAACACCGATCTAAGAGCTACACAAGTTCAGCCTTTGGAGTTCACATGGCCCCCAATGCCCTTAACAAAGGCTACTTATTATATTGCGCTTTACTTTGCTCATGATTCTGACTCGATGGGCGATGGATCCAGAGTCTTCGATGTTTCTGTCAATGGTATAACATATTATAAAGAGTTGTCTGTCACTCCAGCTGGTGCGGTTATCTTTTCGAGCAGGTGGCCTCTTGAAGGTCTCACAACGTTAACTCTAAGTCCTAGAAGTGGTTCAAGCCTTGCCCCTCTTATCAATGGTGGTGAAATGTTTGAGTTGGTACCTCTTGGAGGCAAAACTCTTGTTCGAGATGGTAAGACTTATAACAACACTGAATGATTGAATATATTTTTATGGAAGTTTGATAAGTAACTAACTGCTGATAACATGCTGAATTTGTGTTTCTTCCTTCTGCAGTAACTGCTATGAATGCAATTAAAAGCAGTTTCAAGAACGCACCAGCTGATTGGAGTGGGGATCCTTGTTTGCCTAAAAATTACTCGTGGTCTGGAATTTCCTGCTCTGAAGGCCCCCGAATTCGTGTAGTCGCTCTGTGAGTTGGAATTTTGCCAAATTGTGTCGCCTGTTTTTTTTTAATGCATCAGTTTGAGATTTACTGACACTTATCTAATTCATTGTTGTTCCAGGAACTTGACTAATATGGGCGTTTCAGGTTCGCTAGCACCTGCAGTTGCCAAATTAACAGCATTGTCCTCCATGTAAGTACTTTGACCTGTGAACAATTAGTTTTATGCCTGAACGTCAAAAACATCAATTGATATTGTGTGTTATGAACAGTTGGCTGGGAAACAATTCTCTCTCAGGAAGTTTACCTGACTTCAGTTCACTCAAACGGCTGGAATCATTGTGAGTGTATATTTAGTTTATTTCACTACCTGTCAACAACCTTAGGCTGCTACTGAACAGAGACTCATAAGCTAATCTTATCCCTTTTTCTATGTACAAGGCACTTTGAAGACAATCGTTTCACTGGAAATATTCCTTCATCTTTAGGTGGAGTGCCACACTTGCGAGAGCTGTAAGTTTCCATTCTCATATTACCATATACACAAGTCTTTTGATAATTGGTTTAAAATTAGTTGCTTCTCTAGAATAAGTTGCATATTGTCTGCTTTTCTGCTCAAGATTCTTGCCTTGTGGATGGAAAAGACATAATACCTTGTATTCATTCTTCTTGTTTTTGGCATCAGCGCTTTTGTCTTTTAGCATTGCTTTTTAAGATTCAAAGGGCATTATCAACTGTATACATTTTAAAGTATACCAGCATAACAATAATCATGTCTCGTTATATACTCTGTTTAATAGTTCCGATACTCAGATTATTGAACCTACATGTCTTTTATACATCATTGCATTGTCGTTATTTTGTGGCCATGAGCATGAATTTCTGACTGATTTATGTATGATTTGTGGATAATTAGGTTCTTGCAAAACAATAACCTAACTGGCCAAGTTCCGAACAATCTTCTTAAGAAGCCTGGACTGAACCTAAGGTAAGCTACAAAATTCGCAAAGCTGTTTTTAACCAGCCATATCTGAGTAATGTCTTATCTTGAATTGGCTAATCCAAATAATCTCTGATTCTTTACCCTTCAGGACTTCTGGTAACCCCTTTTTGACTCAACCGTCACGTTGATTCGGCCTTCTAAGAAGAAGAAGATGACAATGAATTGAGTTTGTGTTATAATTTTGTAGAGCTTTGTGTGTAAATTAGAAGCCTCACGTGTACAATCTATTTAACATATCGAAATGCTTCATTCTTTGAACACTTTGGGGGATAAGAGAAATACTACTGATTGCATGGGTTGTATCATTCTATTGTGTAATGAAAACGTACATTGTAATACGAATCTTGTGATAAATGGAGTTTGTGTTTTCCTTAAATCAAAAATCGGTTCTATTGAGGTCAATGGATCATCCATTCTTTGGTCATTAATAAGATATTTCACCTGAAATCATACTAGAAGATATTTCTTTGATAAATATCTATCGATATGCTTTGATGTAACAAAAGTACAAGAGAAATGTGAAGAACGAGAGCTGCATTTCTGTAAAAGTGGAGCCCCAATTCCAAAATAGTGAAGCAGAAACAATTGGTGCAGAGAAAAGTAATTTTCAGAAAACATCTGAATCTTGCATGTGCCTATCAGTCTTTCATCTTTCATTTTCTCATCATTAACTAACAAACAGATTACTCTGCTTTCTATTTTTCTGTCTCATCATTTTTGTTTTTGACATTTACTCTGTTGTCTCTCACATCTCACATCTCAACATGCAAACAAATCTAAAATCAAATCTTCATCTTTTCATACTTTAAAAAAGAAAATGGAGATGAAGAACAGAGGAACGGTTCTTACTCGAATTTCTTAACATTGTCATACAATAGATCTCAAGCCATAAAGCATACACATAATACATCTGAAAACAGCACTTAATCACATGCATTAGACCACATGAGAAAACAGTCGAGAATCTGAACAAATTTACCAATAAATTGTTTTTTTCAATCCAAAGATAGCTCAAATCTTCTAAGTGCGTCTCTCTACTCTGTTTTTCTTAAGCGCAAGAGGAAACAGAGGAGGCAAAGGAAGAGAGGATTTAGAAGGAGTGCAAATAGGAACATGAATCATCGGCCTTATCCTCATACTCGCCGATCTCGTTCTCTCTAATCCTTTCTTACCTCTCTTCCCTTCTTTCTCTTTCTCCTCTCTCTTCGCTGCATCCTCAAGCGAGCTAGATGATGACGTGGACGACGACGGAGACAAAGACGACACTGTCCTCACAGCCACCGACGACGTAGACGGGTTCCTCTGTTTCTTCAATCTCAAAAGCTCTTTCCAAAGAACGGTACATTTAGGAGGACGAGGAGATGGATCTTCGTCTATAAACCAACTCACTCTGTTATCTCTATTATTAATCTCCTGATCTTTCTTTATCACTTCCACTTTACGTTTCTCTCCTTCTTCTTCTTCGTTCGTCTTCAAAGTAATGTTTTTAAGCTTCTCTGAGTGCTTTACTTCCCAAAAAGGAAGCAACTTACCTTCGGAGAAGAGTTCGTCGGCGGTAAGCATTCTCTGTGGACTCACATTTTCAGACGACAAGAACTCAAAGTCGGAGACTTTCACTGACCCTTTGACGACATCTTTCTCTAACTCCTTACACATTACGGGGGTGATGCAGATGAAATCTCCACCATCAGATAAATCAGCTGAGAAGGAAATACGAGGTCCAAGCAACGGTGGTGATTCCGTGTTTGAAACCGTCTCTGAAACCATTTCTTCTAGTTTCCCTCTTGTGATGAAGATTTGATACGAGTAAGTGAATGATCTCAGCTTATAAACTTTGGTGGAAGTCAAGAATTTTGTGAGCAAATCGTGGTAGAGACGTGTGACTGATTGATTCTTGTCTATAAGTTTAAGAGAGGAGAGAGTTCGAGCTAGTGGTGGACTTTGTGAGAGTTTGAGATGATGGAGATAATAAATAAAAAGGAGAGACAGAGAGAAGAGGTCTGAAAAAGGAGAAACAGAGTGAGTTAATTATTGTGATTAAATGAGTTAATAGAGTTTAAGATAGTACTAATGAGGAAGACGACCACATGGACACGTTGGGGGGAGACACAAGGAGACAAATTAGAGACATGTAATTAGAGTTGTGATTTTAAAGCCTGTTGGAGATTAAGAATAGAGCTGGGCCATGCAACTGCTTAATTATATACTAGTATAATTACATCGATCGAGATTACCTATAAAATAAGATAGTTAGATAGAGAAAAGATAGGATCAGTCAATGGGAGTTGGAATTAACGAGAGAGTAGAGTGCATGAAGGAGGGTAATAAACAGTTAACACATGTCGGCACATGACCCTCGCGTCTTTGCATGTGATTAAATTACACACGTCTATTACGTTTGAATCAAGAAGAGATAATATTACGTTTAGCGTTTCTATTGCTGATTCTAAATACGAAATTTTTTTTTTAAAAAGATCCAAATATAATATTTCATGATTTTTGAGATGATTTGCTGACATTGTTTTCTCCAGAATGCTGCATGACTTTTGTCTATGGCTTACGACGATTTGACGACTTGCAATATTTTTTTTTAACATCGCAATATTTTATAAGTTTATCACAAATAATTTCCTTTTTTGATTGTCAAAAATTTACTCTCTTTTTTTTTCCTGTAAAAGATAAAGTCACGAGTCCAAAAGTACCTGCAGACAGCTCTAAAATTATACTCATTTCTTTTAAAAATATTTCTATTTATATATAAATGAAAATATTGTTTTTGTCCACAGTATATTTCACAATATAAAATACTAATAGCAAACTATTGGGTATGGACAAACAAACAGACAATAATAATTTAAATGGGGTACATATTGAAGTAATATGATATAAGAAATAAATAAATCCAAGTAAAATACTTGGAAGCACGTTGAGCTGCGGGTTTCTTGGTGTTGGACCACTCGTTTTGGTTATAGTTTTCTTCCTTTTTTTTTGTATGTCAACGTTTTGGTTCTATAGTTTAGCCTGATTATCTTATGTGAGTATTTACTTTAAAAATCAGTATTAATCAACTCCAAATTGCTTTTTTTTTCTTACGTGAAGAGTGTTAACTAGATCTGTTTGCTTCTTTTCTCTCTTATTTTTCTGGTAGAATGTAAATATGTTAAATGGTATCGTTTACTTTTTTCTGTTTTGTAAGAAAAAGCCATGTTTAGGTCTAAACACGTCTCATGCAAAATGAAAATGAATTTGGAGGTCTATTTTTAAATTCTTTAGCGAGTATTGAATGAAACACAATAGTACACAGTACAAAACCTTTTCAGAGGCTTTGGCCACAAAATATTATCATTCGTATAGAAAAATATTATCACCATATGTTCACTCTGTTAATGGGTTTATGAGGATTACAGAACCAATGTTGGAAATACTTTTTGGTAGATGCACCGAAAAACCTTTTCCCAGGCAAGAATTAGAGGCGTTATTAAAAACAAAAAAAGAAAGAAAGAATTGGAGGTCCAAAATATGATATGGATTCCACAGTGACTCAAAACAAATGGGCCTTTAGAGATTAATTATATGGCCCACTTGTCTCATCTAGAGCAAGTGGCGTAACGTTACAGTTTTCAAATCATGTTAAAAAGATTGTTTTTTTTCCATTTCAAATCGGTTATAAGTTTTTTTTTTTTTTTTTTTTTTCAAATCGGTTATAAGTTATAACTGATGATTTTGATTTTTTACAAACAAAGACACCAAATAGATGCACCAAAAAACTTTTCTTGGTTAAAAACTTTATAACAAATTCTGGAAACAAAGTCACTAGAAATTGATACTTGATTAAATTTGTTTTTCAGTAAAAGACAGGAAATAATTTGTTTTTTTCTACCTTGGATTATTCAATCATAAAGAAATATTTTCACCAAATAAACAAAAATTTGATACCATTTGACTATTTAACTATATGGATCTCATATGGAATATGGATACATATACAAGCAAAAAAATCTTAAAGTAATCAACCAGTCAAACTTTAGGTGGCTATGATCTAATTAAAGAATAAAAAAGAATAAGATAAAGAAGAAACAATCTTTTAAAAAAATAAAATAAAAACTTTAAGAGGCTATGTTTTGAGAGAAATAAATATTCAGCTAAGGAAACCATATCTGCCAAATTAATCAAGTTTGACTTAACAATAACATGTGACCAAAGTACAAAAATAACAATAACAAAAAAACATCCGCCTAATTACTGCCATAAATGATAAAATGAATTACAGATTGTAATCCGTTATGGACAGCTCAATGTCTTCACACTCCTTCTTCTTTATTAATCCATCTTTCTATGAATTTCTGTAAAACCTAAACATTTTACATACAAAACTTATCCACATAAAAAAAACTATAACCATGTCCAAACGACGCATTTGCTGCATAGTTTCCGCAATCATTTTTGTCCTCTTCGCCATCTTCATCGCCGCTTTGATCCTTGCGCAAGTGTTCAAACCAAAACATCCGATTTTACAAACCGTCTCTTCAACTGTTGATGACATATCTACAAATATATCACTACCATATGAGGTCCAACTAAATTTCACTCTTACACTTCAGATGCTGCTCAAGAATCCTAATGTTGCGGATTTTGAATACAAGACAGTGGAAAATTTGGTTTATTACAGGGATACACTAGTGGGAAATCTCACTCTTCCTTCGAGCACATTACCTGCCAAAGGTTCAGTGCTTTTGGCATGTCCTCTTTTTCTTCAGCTCGATAAATTTGTCGCGAATTTAGGTGATATCGTGCAAGATGTATTGCATGGAAAAATTGTGATGGAGACAAAGGCAAGAATGCCAGGAAAAATCACGTTGTTGGGAATCTTTAAGATACATTTGGATTCAATATCGCATTGCAACCTTGTACTTGGCTTTCCTTCGATGGAAGTGGTGGATCAAGTATGTGATCTCAGCACTAAGCTGTAAATAGTTTATGTTTTTCAGGTAAACATAGGCTTAAGAGGGCAGATTAATTCTAGCTAGTTTCCTGTAATAATGAAGATTGTAGTCTTCATCATTGTTCTTTTATCAACTCCATTTTTGTGAGTTCTTGAAATTAAGTGTTTCCATTTGAATTTGAAATAATGAATATTATTACGATGAAAGAAAAAATCTTAAATATTTAATTTTACCTCCATTTGAGAAAAGAAAAAAATGGAAAGACTCTAAGAAAAAAGAAATATAGAGTTTTGGGCACAAAAGTGCTAAACCTATGATTACTCCATAACTAAGATAATATTGCTTGCTTTTTCTTGATTTAAAGTAAAATCAAATTTAGGAGACAAATCAAACTTGAAATTGATAGATCATCGATGTTGCTTGCTTTTTCTCGATTTAAAGTAAAATCGAATTTATGAGACAAATCGAACTTGAAATCGATAGATCATAAGATATGTGTGATATCGAAAGATCAAAGGAGGAAAAAAATATATACCCATACCAAAATAAATTGTAACCAAATATATTATATTATCGAAAACGGTATTCTCAACTTTTTGTATACCGTTAACTTTTATCTTTTATTTTTTTCGCTGAAAATTGTACCGTTTTGTATATATATCATTTTTTTTTTTACAATTAATCTTTTTGTACGGTTAACTCTTAGAGTTATTTCTTACCACTTCTAACTACTAATATATCATTCGTTTTTTCTGCTTAAATCTATTTGGTTCATAGATCAGATTTATTATTACAAGTTCTGATTTTGTGAAATTATTATTGTTTTTATCATATATGTTACAAGTGTTAGTTACTTTAGTTAGTGTATCATAATTTTTTTTTACAATAAAATTTGACGAAAACTTAAAAACACGAAATCAACGGATAGCGACATCATCAAAAGAGTTAGAAAAGCGTGCCTCCTTTTTTTAGTATCTATCTTTCTTTCGGATCATTCTCTTCTCTCTCTGATTCCGAATCGGTTCATTATTATTATGGATTCTTCTTCTTCTTCCTCCGCCGCCGCACGCCGCCGTATCAACGCTATCCATTCTCATCTCGTCACCTCTTCTCGCTCATCCCCTCTCCTCCGCTCCAATCCCACCGCCGGCGAGTTCTGTCTTGGTCCGTTTTTCCTCATCTCTCTCTGTCTGATTTACTACTAGCTTCCTCTCGCTGCTGATTACTTGTATCCTGATGATCGCAATCAGATAATGGCTACAGTGTTGTTCTTCCCGAGAAATTGAATACTGGCAATTGGAACGTCTACAGGTTCTTTACGCTTCCTCTTCTTCTCTCCTTGTCTCTATCTCAATTTTTTCGTTTATGTTTTGAATTCAATTTTTCAGATCTGCAAAGTCTCCGTTCAAGCTCGTTAGCAGATTCCCAGATCATCCTGACATCGCTACTCTCCATGACAATTTTGAGTATGAATCAGAATCCTTCTTCTTCTTAAGCTGCATCATCTTCTATTCTGATTGCTACTATTCTTGGTCTATGTAGGCATGCTGTTCATGATTTTCGGGATTACAAGTATTTAGGAACTCGTGTTCGTGTCGACGGAACTGTTGGAGAGTGAGCTGCTTACTTACTAAATTATGTATATGCTTTCTTTTATGGATCTCTGCAAGAAAGTACTTTCCTTGAAGCTATTTTTATTATGTGACTCTGGTTTTATTCTTTTTGTAGCTACAAATGGATGACATATGGAGAAGCTGGTACGGCAAGAACTGCTTTAGGTTCGGGTTTAGTTCATCACGGAATCCCCATGGTAAATTATTGGATTCTTCCTCTCCTTCTAGATTGATCTTGAATTTTGCAGCTTTACTCAAGTCTCTGTTTTTCTTCTACCAGGGATCATCTGTTGGAATTTACTTTATCAACCGCCCAGAGTGGCTCATTGTTGACCATGCTTGTTCTTCTTATTCTTATGTGTCTGTTCCTTTGTATGATACTCTTGGTAAGTTTCTGGTTTCGGTGTATTATTTCCATTACACAATTCTTAGGGACGTTCTAATTGTGTTCTTTGTTTTTGCTCAAGGTCCTGATGCTGTGAAATTTATTGTCAATCATGCAACTGTGCAAGCCATATTTTGTGTGGCAGAGACTTTAAACTCTGTAAGTTCATCAATCTGCTGCGTGAATTTCCTTCTTTTTTTTTGAAATGCTTACTTGGATGATAGTGAGATTAAAAAAAGAACCTTTTTAGCCCTTATTCAAAAGATGTGTATGTTTCTGACTGTTTTCCTTTAATTGCGCGTACTTTTGCGAAATGATCGTTTTCTGACTTCTTTTTTGCTTGCTTTACTGTTTGGGTTACTGCTGGAGATTTCAGTTACTTAGCTGTTTGTCTGAGATGCCAAGTGTACGCCTGGTGGTGGTATGAGGAAACCTCAAATTTTGTTATTCTTTTGAGTATTGTGACTACAGTCTCCAAATTAATTTTTTCTTCTCTCTTTTGGTGATCCTTCTCATGACCAAGTAGGTTGTTGGAGGGTTAAATGAATCTTTACCCTCTCTTCCCTCATCAACAGGAGTGAAAGTTGTATCATATTCGGTGTTACTGAATCAGGTACTTGTATGATTTTGTCATTCAATATCCGTTTTCTGAAGATAAGCAGGATTAAGGACATTCTATCATTTAAGATATTGCAAGTTCTTACCAGTGCTATTATGAGTCATATCTGTTTATTACCAACCCGGGTTTCATCAACATATATACAACACTGGGTACATAGTAGTCATATATGCACAAGTGTACTTCCACATCATTACACTTTTACCTATCACTCGAAATCATTTTATATCAGGACTACTCCTATACATGTCCCATATATCCATAATAGTTTTCTCATTGAGATAATATAGTCATCCAGTATCTTTCTCGCTGATAGCAGAACCGTTGTGGTCATGTTGGTTTCCTTGTTTTCTGACCAAACAAATTTGTTTCAGGGTCGTAGTAACCCTCAGCGGTTTTTTCCACCAAAACCCGATGATGTTGCAACCATATGCTATACAAGCGGAACAACTGGGACACCCAAGGTTTTGCTTACTTGAAATTTTATCTTCAAATTTAGGATAATACTGTTCTTTATTTCATATTTACCCTGACTATATAGCATCTAACTTACTGTTTATTTGATCCTGTATGTCTCATTCCTCCTTGGCCTGCTCTTCTTCCGGATGATATATGTTAAAGGGAGTTGTATTAACTCATGCAAACTTGATTGCGAATGTTGCTGGCTCCAGCTTTAGTGTGAAATTTTTCTCGTCAGATGTGTAAGTGCTTTACTTCTTTCTTTTGATAGTTAAAACGTTTTCAGTGTTCTTCTTTGTATCTGTCGCTACATGTATCTTAATTCTTAAAATTTCCATTCTTAAGTGGTCTTTGTTTCAGATAGACTATTAGTAACTAATTTTGTCATAATTTCTTCTACTTTCCAGTTACATTTCGTATCTTCCACTGGCACACATTTACGAACGAGCTAATCAGATCCTAACAGTGTACTTTGGAGTTGCTGTTGGATTCTACCAAGGGGTTAGAAACTGAACCTTCTCCTTTTAGCCAAAATTTTGGCATAAGTTGGTTCCAAATGTGAAGTCAGAACGTCTGGAATTTTCATTTATTCTATCGTTAGCTGTATCTTAATACATTTGATAAACATCCACTTGGTTGCATTAAGTAACCATGATAGACCTATGCACCTGTGATGTGGTCTTTGCTTATACTCCTCCCCCACTCTCAAACCCCTATCTATTAATTTAATTGGACGAAACGCTTCAAAATTTTCTGCAGGACAATATGAAACTACTGGATGATTTGGCTGCTCTGAGACCTACTGTGTTCAGCAGTGTCCCTCGATTATACAATAGAATATATGCTGGGTAATATAATGGCTTTGGTTTGTTGATATGCGCTCTCTGCTACTTTTGAGGATTCACTGAATTAATGTAAAATTGTTGTTTCCCAGTATCATTAACGCAGTAAAAACCTCTGGTGGGCTGAAAGAGAGACTCTTCAATGCTGCCTATAATGCAAAGAAGCAGGCTCTCTTGAATGGTAGGTCTAGGTCCTGTCAAACTTAATTACACTAAAAGCAATCTTTGCAATTCTATAGCTTTATTTTGTAATTTCTGACACAGCTAGGGACTTTGATTACTGTTGAGTTCTAAGAGATGATAAAAAGTTTTCCTTTATACAGTTTTGGGCTTGATTTACTTCGTATGGGTACTGTTGATTCAGGAAAGAGTGCTTCTCCCATATGGGACAGGTTGGTATTTAATAAGATAAAGGACAGACTTGGAGGGCGGGTTCGTTTTATGACGTCTGGTGCTTCACCTCTGTCTCCTGAAGTGATGGAATTTTTGAAAATGTAAGTTTACTGCATTTATTATATTGTGTTGTCATACTATACAATAAACTTCATCCTCAAGAATGGACACTTCTCAGTCCCCACCAATCCCTCTCTCTCTCTCCCTAGCTCATGCATAACTACAGTAGCTTTGGTTTCACATAACTTTGTTTGACATTAGCTTTGATTTTATTTTATCTCTCGATTTAATCTTTGGCATATGACTACTCCAGATGCTTTGGAGGAAGGGTAACAGAGGGATATGGAATGACTGAAACATCTTGTGTTATAAGTGGAATGGACGAGGGTGATAACCTCACTGGACATGTTGGCTCTCCTAATCCAGCTTGTGGTGAGCTTTCTACTGACTCTGCGATATGATAAGTAGAGTAATTTGGAACTAATATATCCAATTTAAATTGCTTTGGGATTTAATATGCATCCTTTTTTCAGAAGTAAAGCTTGTGGATGTCCCGGAAATGAACTATACATCAGTGGATCAGCCCCATCCCCGTGGCGAAATATGTGTTAGGGGTCCTATCATTTTTAGAGGCTATTACAAAGATGAAGTTCAAACGTATGTAACACCTACTACATTGGAAATTCCTCTTTCCCTTACCAAAGTGTACGAAAAACTTAATCATTTCAGTAAAATATATTATTTTCAGGAAAGAGGTGATTGATGAAGATGGATGGCTTCACACTGGAGATATAGGTCTGTGGCTGCCGGGAGGACGTCTAAAAATTATTGACAGGTTTTCCCAAAATCACTTGATTGTTATCACCTGTTTCATTAGTAAAATCAAATCTCTTGGCTCACAAAGAATAAGCCTACTTCTTACTGATGATACAAACACTAAGATATAATATCTGCAAAAGCCTAGGGTGTGCAAAGCTCTAGTCTTGGGTTACATTTCTGGGGACTTGTTGGTATCTGTTGAATCGAGAATCATCTGAGTAAAATTTCCTCATTCTTTGAATAGGAAGAAGAACATCTTCAAACTGGCGCAGGGCGAGTATATAGCTCCAGAGAAAATTGAAAACGTCTATGCTAAATGCAAATTTGTGGGCCAGTGCTTTATATATGGTATAGTAAATATATTTAGTAAATCTTTTTGTTTAGTATTTGGTTTATCCTTTCCCCATCTCACCTGTTACCATTTTTCAGGTGATAGCTTTAATTCATCATTGGTAGCTGTTGTATCGGTTGATCCAGATGTGCTGAAAAGCTGGGCTGCTTCAGAAGGCATTAAGGTGACATAACTTACTTCACCAAATTCTCTAAATGTAACATTAGAAAAGTAGTAACTTTATACCACTTTGCTGAATGTAGTATGGAGGAGATCTGAGAGAATTGTGCAATAACCCGAGAGTGAAAGCAGCAGTACTATCTGACATGGACACTGTTGGAAGAGAAGCTCAGGCAATACATCTCAGAAAACATTTTTCTTTTATCTATTTATTTCACAGTTAGTTACTGTTCTCAAAAACATGATCATTGATTGGATAATTAAAATGTTTGCTGCAGTTGAGAGGCTTTGAGTTTGCAAAGGCTGTGACATTGGTGCTGGAACCATTCACGCTGGAAAATGGCTTGTTGACTCCGACATTCAAGGTAAAATCCTTATATGAATATGCTTCATTCAAACTAGATTTCAAAGGTAAATTCTATTATAGCTTTTGGAACGGTTTGTTCTGACATGGTTTTAGTTCAGAGCTATTTGTTCAAATTGAAAACCCCTAGTTCCACTCCTATAATTAGTCTGGTTTAGTAAGGGACATTTTGTTTCTCTTTTAAAATCTTGTAAAAGCATATCTGGATTGGATATGAAATAATTAGGAAACCAATTGTGAGAATATGGATTGAGGCAAAAGGATTTGATTGAATATTGCAGATTAAGAGACCACAAGCAAAGGAATATTTCGCAGAAGCAATAACAAACATGTACAAGGAGCTTGGTGCTTCTGATAAAGGTTTGTGATGATGGAATAATCGTGTGATTAATAAAAAAGCCTACGCAAAATGTTTATCCCAAATTGTATTCTTTTTTATTTCTTGCTACATATTTATTGAATAGTAAAGGTAATAAAGGTGCTACATTAATGAAACTCTTTTACAATGTTATTCCCTGTGTAATAAAAAGGTCAAACATTCACAATTCTGTTTTATTGCGTATTATTCGGCCTACCACGTAACGACGATCTCTGTCCGTACGCTGAGTATATAAAGATAAATTGATTATAATTATAGCAAGATATCCACCCTTGGATATACTAAATGATAATCTCTCTATGATTGTGTTCAAAACCCTAAACTACACATCCAAATAGATTGTGCTTGGATAAAAAGCCAATCTAAAATAGTGATAGTGTTCGATTTTGGAGTTTTTTGGTGAAGGTAATGGAACAATCATTTTTAAAGGATAGTCTGTTTTGCTTTAGTTCAGTTATATTTTTTTGCTTGACCTTGATTTTACATCTGAATAATTAGGTGAATCTGAGTATCTGACCATGTCTGAATTTTAAAAAAAAAACAAAAGACGAAAAAGGTTGAAAGAAAGGCAAATAAATATCAAATTTCATGGAGAAATATGAAAATATGTGATATGATTGAATCATTTTCTGAAATCTCTCTCTCGTGAAATCTGCTTATATAGTTTAAAATTTAATTTTACATATTTTAAGTGATTAAACCAAATTAAAACTTGGTTAAGGTTTTGGTTGAATCGGTTTGGTTAACCAGGTTAAATACCCTTGAGCCAGATGTGTTGGTACTTGGTCCAGAAAGATTTGACTGTGTAACAGAAAAATAATAGGAAAGTGAAAAAAAGAAGAAAAGATATGAGATCCAAAAACTAATCACAGACCATACAAAAACCCGTATATCTCGCCTATGCTATTTGGAAACACAATCCCATTTTTAGACAAGTCTGAATCTCACAGTTTGGTCATGTGTCTCTGTCATGTCTTTCATCACTTATAAATACGTGGATCCTTCATCTTCTTATCCAACAGAGTCTGTCATTTCAAGCAGGGTCTCTGTCTCCTTCAGCTTCCTTCATGTTTCATCTTTAGCTTACACAGACACACACTCACACACACACCTATACAAACACTTATATATTTCACATATATACTGAGTTTGCTTGGTGGTGTCTGCTCGAGATTTAGTTAAACATGGCTGTTGTTGTTTCTAATGCTAATGCTCCGGCCTTTGAGGCCAAGATGACTGTCTATGTCTTCATCTGCGTTATGATTGCCGCTGTCGGCGGTTTGATCTTCGGTTATGACATAGGAATTTCCGGTTTATTCTCCTTCTCTGTACCTAATTTCACTTACTTGCATTTCAAGAAACAAAATAAGTGTAACTTGTATCTCAAGTTAATTTTTAACTGTTCTTGGTTTGCTTTTAGCTAATGTTAATGATCTGTGACTAAAAGGTGGAGTAAGTGCAATGGACGATTTCCTGAAGGAATTTTTCCCGGCGGTGTGGGAGAGGAAGAAGCACGTACACGAGAACAACTACTGCAAGTACGATAACCAGTTCTTGCAACTGTTCACCTCGTCTCTTTACCTAGCTGCCCTCGTGGCCAGTTTCTTCGCTTCCGCCACCTGTTCTAAACTTGGACGCAGGCCGACGATGCAGTTTGCTTCTATCTTCTTCTTGATTGGTGTCGGTCTCACTGCAGGAGCCGTTAACCTCGTCATGTTGATCATTGGAAGACTCTTCCTTGGCTTTGGTGTCGGATTTGGCAATCAGGCAGTGCCTCTTTTCCTGTCTGAGATTGCTCCAGCACAGCTCCGAGGAGGTCTCAACATTGTGTTCCAACTCATGGTTACAATCGGAATCCTAATTGCCAACATTGTCAACTACTTCACTGCCACGGTTCACCCTTACGGATGGCGAATTGCTCTCGGTGGAGCCGGAATTCCAGCTGTTATCCTCCTCTTCGGTTCACTACTTATCATTGAGACGCCCACAAGCCTCATCGAGCGCAACAAGAACGAACAAGGAAAAGAAGCCCTAAGGAAGATCAGAGGAGTTGATGATATCAATGACGAGTATGAGTCTATCGTCCATGCCTGCGACATTGCGAGTCAAGTCAAGGACCCTTACAGGAAACTGTTGAAACCCGCGAGTCGCCCACCGTTCATCATCGGAATGCTTCTCCAGCTTTTCCAACAATTTACCGGAATCAATGCGATTATGTTCTATGCACCGGTTTTATTCCAAACTGTTGGATTCGGAAGCGACGCAGCTCTTCTCTCTGCGGTTATCACCGGAACGATCAATGTTCTAGCCACGTTCGTTGGGATTTACCTCGTTGACAAAACCGGCAGGAGATTCCTTCTTCTCCAATCTTCCGTTCACATGCTCATCTGCCAGGTCCTTAAATATCACTCATCTCTTTGTTTCTTATACATCAAGTAATTTAAAAGTAGGTTTCTTGTCCCAGAAGTAATCTTCTATCACTAACAAATCTCTTCAAACAGTTGATCATTGGAATCATCCTAGCAAAGGACTTGGGTACAACGGGAACACTCGGGAGGCCACAAGCCCTAGTAGTGGTGATCTTTGTGTGCGTTTACGTGATGGGCTTTGCGTGGTCATGGGGACCTTTAGGATGGCTAATTCCTAGCGAGACGTTTCCTCTAGAGACCCGTAGCGCAGGATTCGCTGTTGCAGTCTCATGCAACATGTTCTTCACGTTTGTAATCGCTCAAGCTTTCCTATCGATGCTTTGCGGGATGAGGTCTGGAATTTTCTTCTTCTTCAGCGCTTGGATCATTGTGATGGGACTGTTTGCGTTTTTCTTCATACCAGAGACAAAAGGAATCGCCATTGATGACATGAGGGAGAGTGTGTGGAAGCCACATTGGTTCTGGAAAAGGTATATGCTTCCAGAGGACGACCACCATGACGTTGAGAAGAGAAATGCTTGAAATCACAAGTCTCTGTTGATTTGTGTTTTTTTCCCCTGTTCCGTTTTTTTTTTTTTTTTTTTTTTTGGATATTCTTTGATTCTTTCGTACTTCTTTTGTTTCGTGGGAACGAATAGTTCAATAAGACCAACTTGTTGATTCAGGTTAGGTATTATCAATGAAATTCCATGGAAATAAAGTTTTTGAAAATCACATCTTGATTACTACTTAGATGCTCTCATTATTACTGTTTTCTCTTTGCTCAATGCCTTCTACCAAACGCAACTGCTATTCACATTAGGTTTGCGATCAAATCTTTGCTTGCAGAACCAGAAATACTGTAAGATTTTTGAAAGTTTTGATAGTTCCAAACGCTGATGTTAAAATATTTTAAATTAACATCAGAAAAGTAAAAAAGTTTTAATTTCGTTAGAAAAAATCATTAGGTCTCTGTGTATCTTATTACTTTAATTTTCGTTAACAAGTTATCTGTATTGCTATATCAAACGCAGGGAGAACAAAACCAACAAGCAATCCGGTTTAGGCTTCAATAAACCCTGAATCATAAACCAATTAACCAAAGCAATATGAACCACAACCTTCTTCTGTTCCTACCAGCGTCTTAATGCTACTTAAAAAAAGGATAAACAAAAGAGTTATCACTCACTCCCCTCAAGATCTCTACTCTCTACTCTACTCGCCAAGTCAAAATGCAAAATCATAAGATATTGAAGGGAGCTTCAAGTTTCACAAACACTACTATACTCAAAAAGCAACAAAAGAAAAAAGAGAGAGATGATTATGTTGGTCAGACCAATATTTCTAGTCGGGAAGTATTTGCTCGTTGTCTGCATCTCCTTCTGTCTCAATGGTAGGCTTTGTCGGTCCAGCTCCAGGAGCTTGCTTCTTCTTTATACCACTCACTATATCATCAATCCTCAGAAGCATACACGCCGCTTCAATCGCTGTCTTAAAAGTTTGCGCCTTCACATTGTACGCATCCCATATCTAATCACAAAAGTTGAAAATGTTGAGTCTCAAGAGAAACATAGATTCACCAGAGAACAAAGCTTTTTCATTCTTACCTTTTTCTCCTTCATGTCAGCTATTGCACCAGTAACCCCGTCTATTCCAATCCAAGCATTCTCACCATTTGCATGCTAATAGTACCACAAAAAAATTGAATCAATGAGAGAGAGATTCGGTATCTGGAACATGTACAGACATGAAAAACTGGTAGACGTAAACTTACTTTTCCTTGCAATGCTGTCATAGTTCTGATCACGTTAACTCCACAGTTCTGAGCTAGAGTACGTGGAATAACCTCAAAAGCTATAGCAGCTGCTTCATAAGGCCACTGTTTCAATAACATTCAAAATTAGAACCCCCATTCAACTTTGAAAAGATCACAACTATGGTCAAAGCGGTAAAAACCATAGCAGAACCTTTTCGATTCCTTCAATTGTTGCACTTTTCTGTTTTAAAGTGGCAGAAACTGTTAATTCTGTGGCTCCACCACCAGGAACAAGCTTTGGGTTCTTGATGATGTTTCTTGAAACAGACATTGCATCCTGCAGGAAGGAATGCATCAGGTATTATGATAGTGATTAGCTTGAGTAATAACTCACATTTAGTAATATCATCCACAAACCTGAAGATTTCTTTCCACTTCGTTGAGGAGATCTTTACTTGGTCCTCTTAAGAGTACGGTACATGCTTTAGGTTCTTTGCAATCAACAATAAAGGCAAAGAAATCATCTCCTATTTTCTTCACCTCAAACAAGCCAGCACCGGTACCAACGTCAGACTCTTGAAGTTCATCAGGCCTATTCACAATCACAGCTCCACAAGCCTTAGCGATTCTGTTGTTGTCCGTCTTCCTCAACCTTCTGATTGCACTAACCCCAGCTTTACTGAAATAGTGACAGGCCAAGTCACTAAGCCCCTTTTCTGTAATAACTAAATCGGGCTTGAACTTTAGTATTTGCACGCAGATGTTCTCGATGTACTCCTCTTCCAATTTCAACAGCACTTCCCAGTCCTCTTCTCTAACCAACTCGGCATTGGTTTGGTTTTCACCTTTCTTGTACTCCAGGGGGCAGTCTAGAAGAATAATCCGCGGGTTGACAATCTTTCTCTTCATTTTACCTGGAGCAACTACGTCTTTGTTAAACATGACTCCTTTGAGAACCTTGGAGTCCTCCAACTGCCCACCAGGAACCTTCTCAACCTTAATGTACTTTTTAATATCCACCTCCCTCAATCCTTGTCCAAGATCAACACCAATAGTAGTGGTGGCATCGATAGCCAAATCCTAGAAGAGCCACATAAAGTCGTGTAAGAACGTGAGAAAAATACTTTATGGCATTTCATTCAGACAGTAGGGAAAACAAGCTAAATAAAGTGTCACTAATGAAAACTTAACAAATATGAAGCTTCTAAATGTGCAGATGTCAAAAATTGTTTTGTCTTATAAGTGTACAATGATTTATGATGTAATGTACAAAAAACTCTATACGGTAAAAGGCCAGCCCTGTGACGCAAAAGCAAATATCTTCAGCAATTAAAATACTCACAGCAATAAGATCTCCAAATTTGCTAGTGAATTTTGTTGCTATGCAGCTCTTGACTAATCCTAGTACCGTTGCACCTGCAAAATAAATCTTCATGTATCAGCAAACATGAGCCCAATATCAGGAAAGAAAATTCAAAAACAAAGGTGGAAGAGGACTTACGGTCATTGACATCGATTGGCATGGCAATCTTTTCAAGAACAGCCATGGCATCTTCGAGAGCCTTATTATAAGCTGCAGAGAAAAAAAACATTGTTCAAGTGAAAACAGTAAAAAATACAACACTGTGGACTGGAATGGTAACAATCATACGCAAGTATACCTCGGCAAATGACTGTGGGATGGTAACTCTTCTCAAGAAATGATTCAGCAACATGTAACAGTTCACCAGCTGTTGAGAAAAGAAAAGAAATCATGTGCATTTGAACTCATATCACTTTAAGTGTCAAATCCACAATAAAACATCACAGCAGTGCCTATTACACTCTTCAAAGCAAACCTAGTGGCAGGTAATGATTTCAGCAAAAGAATCATCAGATGCAATGTACATACCAAGAACAATAACAGATGTAGTCCCATCACCGACTTCTTCGTCCTGTGTGCGACTCAACTCAATCATCGACTGCAACCAACACAGAGAAGAAAAAAAATATCAGCAAAAGAACAGTGAGAAGGCGACAAGGACGTCCGAGAAAGAGAAGAAGTAAAACCTTAGCTGCAGGGTGAGCAACATCAATTTCACGCAAAATAGCATTTCCATCATTAGTAACAACAATCCCTGAAAATAGCAACACACCAAGAGTTTAGCAAAACCCAGAAAACTCAAAGACAGAGTATACAAATCAGTGAAGAATGAATTTTTCAAAAGGCATAAACCTCGTTTATTTGAAGATCTATAGAGAAGAGAAAAACACTAACAAGGAGATACAAAGCAGAGTCAGAAACCTACCTCCACCAGCATCAAGAAGCATCTTTAACATAGAGCTAGGACCCAATGTGGTGCGTAGGATATCAGACACAGACTGTAAAATTGAACCCAGAACTGTAGTGATTAGTGAAACCATGATGCATAGCAGAGAAAGCAAACAGAGAGAAGCAACAATTGAAAGATAAAAAGTAGAAGACTTTATTACCTTGGAAGCCTGAATATTAGCATGGTGAACCTTTGTTCCAGATTCACGCTTCAATGAATCCTCTGAACATTTCACAAAGCAATAACATTAACAATCGGAAACACAGAACTAAGAGAAAAAAACCCCAATACAGATTCAAAGAAACGAGAGATCTGCAGAAGATGAAATACTCACTGAGAACAAGAACTGGTGCGGTCATAACTGCGATCTAAAGCGTAGACGGAGAATCGGAGAAGAAGCTTTATAGACGGCGACGGAGCAAATTCAAAATTGTGGATGCTTCTTCTTTCTTTCGGCTCTCACTCACTTTAGTTTTCAGGTTTGTAAAAGCCCGGTAACTTTATTCTGATTGAGCCCATCAAAGCCCATCTCATTTATCTTTTTTTTTTTTTCTAGGTATTTTAGATTTTGTTTTTAATATTACATCTGATTTTATTCCACTTGAGATAATTATAAGTGAAAGTGTTTACCACCATCTCACGAGCTAAATCCCCAATTAATAATTGACAACTTGTAATGCACGTGATTTTATTGTCAAATAAATATGCACAAACTATAATTTAATAAGAATGACCGTATTATAGTGGTTAGGGCACTTAGATTAAGTGGCTCTATGCACTTGTATGTTTTATCTTCCAACTTTCAACTTACCAAGAATCTTTTTTGGCCACTCTCCTCATGATGTATACGTAGCCATCACTTGTAAATTCCATGTATTTTGAACTTATTTCAGATTTAAAACGCAATTCTTTTTATAGCAAAGCTTGAAAATTCAAATATATATGAAGGTGGCCTGTAATCCAATAGTTAGTATTATAGCTCAACTTAACATTTAGATAATTATTATTGACTTGTGAGAAATGTGGATAGAGCACTCAAACAAAAAATAGCAATATGTCAAACATTTACCCTCTCGCCTCCTTTTTTGAAACTCCAATTTGTGAATGTCATCAGCATCACATCAGTTTTTTCCATTGTTGGAGGAAAAATATATTAGTTTTTTCATTGAGGCAAAAGATGAGCTACTAATTCTAGATTTATACCACACTTAATTATTGAACTATATAAGAAAATTGCCTTTTTATAATCATATAATATACTGTATAAATATAAACATGCACGCAAAATCTATAGTTTTTTAGTATTCTCAAATCTCAAGTGATAAAAAATAATTGTCAATTCTTTGTTTTGTTCATTCGTCTAATTAGTCGTTTAAATCAAAAATAGTAGATTCAATTCACCAATGAGATGCAACCACTAAAATTTCGTTCGACTCTTAATTTAATAAAACTCCCATTATCAAAAAAAAAAAATAAGTATACCTTCGATGATTGATTGTGCTATATATAGCGTATCATTAGCTTGCAATATTTCTCAAATCCTTACCACAAAGCTAGAGATAAAGAAAAAAAATAAACACATAGGAAATACAATAAGGAAAAAAATAGTAAATGGAAGGGTTTCTTCGCTTCCTTGCAGCGAAAGCCATCTTGTTGGCTTTAGCATCTTCATTTGTATCTTGTTATGACCCAAGTCCTCTTCAAGACTTTTGTGTTGCCGTCGATGACGCTAATGGCGGTAATCTCTCTAATTAATTTACTATAGATACTGCTTAATATGGTTCCTTAATATCGTACTAATTATGAGATGCTATTTACTCTAACATAAGTTTAATTATTTAACAAGAAAATGAAGTGTTCGTTTATTTTACATAACATCAATAACTCTACGTACACTTAATACAGTATACGATTTTCATCTATTTTTCAGTTTTCGTGAATGGAAAATTCTGCAAAGACCCAAAATACGTGAAAGCTGAAGACTTTTTTACTTCCGGACTAAACATCGCCGGAAACACTATAAACCGCGTTGGCTCCAACGTTACAAACGTTAACGTTGACAAAATCCCTGGACTCAACACACTCGGTGTGTCTCTTGTCCGAATTGACTTTGCCCCGGGAGGTCAAAACCCGCCACACACGCACCCACGAGCCACTGAGATCCTCGTGGTTGTCGAAGGAACACTCTTAGTCGGGTTTGTGACATCGAACCAAGACAACAACAGATTGTTCTCAAAGGTTCTTTACCCGGGAGATGTATTTGTGTTTCCCATAGGAATGATACATTTTCAAGTGAACGTTGGGAGGACGAACGCGATTGCGTTTGCTGGTCTTGGTAGCCAAAATCCAGGTACGATAACAATCGCAGACGCGATTTTTGGATCGAAGCCTTTGATTATGCCGGAGATTTTAGCTAAAGCGTTTCAGCTGGATGTGAACGTGGTTAGATATCTCGAGGCAAGGTTTTCTTCCAATTATTAACAAGTTAAGAGAATGACGGGAAAATGTACCAAAACATGAATAAAATATGTATTATAGTGTGTGAGAACTAAAATATAACAATCAAGACTGTAAAAAAAAAAAAAAAGAGATGTGTCTTTTAAAGTTTGATAATAAATACAAGTGTAAAAGCATGAAACCAATCTCTATATATAAAGTTAGTTCGTGTAATTCCTTCTATTAAGTGAAGACGACTCAACATCTTCATATTATCAATATGACATTTTAAATTTTCATTTGAATCATGGTCTTCTGTTCCTAATTAAATAGAGTGTTACATAAAAACTAATCTCTACCAACATTTACAAAATTTCTCTAAGATCAATGAGCTTTCCCGATTTCTGCAGCTAGCAACCTCTGCTAGTTAATTGAAAACCACAATCTGGCTTCTTCTCTATAAACTGGTTGGTTCTAAATTTGGAGGAGTGAACATTACCTGTAGCAATGACCACAACATGTTAGGAACGGACATTGTTCTTGATAAACATGAGAGACAAATGAGTTGATATTCTTCACCTTATTAAACTCACCATCATTCATGTTCTCTCTTACCTTTTGATATAAATTTTGTGAGCAAAAAAGATGATTCTTGTTGTATTAAAAAAAAAGGATGATTCTTGTAAACGTTATAATATAAACATAACGGCTATATCAAAAAAGGAAAAAACCAAAGGCATCGAAAAAAGGAAACAACCTAAACGAAATTTCCTTTTTCTGTAAGGATTTCCTTTTTGTGGTTTTGAAAAAAGAGAACTGTTGCTTATAAATACACACTCAGACATTCTCTTCTTCTTCATTCTTGAGAAATCAAAATTCTCTATTCACCTTCTTCTTCTTCATCTTCTTCTTCTTCTTCTTCTTCGAGAAACAAAACTAAAAATCTATCATCTTTCTCATCTATTTCTCTCTTTTCAATACCTGATCGCCTATGATGATCCATGTAAACCCGTGAATTCGAGTTCATCATCTCAGATTCGTGATCTCCCCCATCATCTTCTCCAATCGAGAATGGTTTCAGTTGATTTGGGGTCTCTCAGAATTTGAAGACGAAAATCAAACTATAGATCATCTGACGAAGCTAATGCCGACGCCAACACTCCGATGAACAACAACTCAGAGCAATCCATCTCATAAGTTACGGAGGAAGCCCCATCTTTGCTTCTTCGCTTTGCAATCAAAACAAATCTGCAACAATACCCGTCAGATCTGATCGACTGAGAGGATAAACAAGAGGAAGATCAAAAAAATATCTCAGAGTTTCGTGTAAAGCGATGAGTTTCGTCGTGCCTTGCGTCTAAAGGTTGGATGTTCACGAGAGAAGACAACTACAGAAGAACGCTAGGCCCACATCAGGCTTTCGAATGGACTTTGCTGTTTGGGCCCTTTTTGCTACAAAACCCCAACTAGGTATTACTTTCCTCCTTTCTTATTTTTGTTTTTCTCACTTTTTTTATTAAATTAATTTAAAATAATAAATTACTTTAATTTAAAACAAATTTAACACTTAAAAACTTTAAAAAATTATATATTTTTAACTAAAACCATGTGAATTTCATTATTACTTTTTAAAAATTAGTTTAAGTGTTAAATTTTAAAAACGTCGAAAACTAACCGCGCTTAGGCATCCTGTCCTTAGTTGGTCCGTAAATTTGGTGTTCGAAGTTCGGCAATGTTTTCACGTAATATAAATTTAACACTTAAACTCGTTTTTAAAAAATAATAGTGATTTTGACTAAAATTTAAAACAAATTTAACACTTAAAAAACTTTAAGAAAATAATGTTTTTAACTAAAACCATGTTAATTTCATTATTACTTTTTAAAAATAAGTTTAAGTGTTAAATTTTAAAATCGTTGAAAACTAACCGCGCCTAAGTATCCTGTCCTTAGTTGGTCCGTAAGTTTTGATTTTCGAAGTTCGGCATGTTTTCACGTAATATATATATTTAATATTTAAAATTATTTTTATAAAATAATAATAATTTTCACTAAATAAATAAAGTATTAGAGTTTGAAATTCCCAAGCTGGATTATTTGGACCTGCAATGGATTTACACCTATTCGCTAATTTTTCAGATAATAATTTATTAAAGATTAAACATAATCCTTAATCTCCGCGTTTTCTTCTTTTTCTTCTCGACTCTGCTTTGCTTTATTCACTGAGGAATTTTGAATTTCATATCTCCAACGTTTTCTCTTTTCCAAGGAAGATTACGAAAAAGCTTAAAACCCCCGATCAGAATAATCCGGGGAACTATCTCCGCCGTTGATTTCAGTGGGAGGGTTTTTCCGATTTCAATTTTGATCTGTGTCTGGATTCTCTCTCTGTGTTGCTTTCTCATTGCTTTGAAGAGTCTTCTTCTTCCCCTTTCAAGGTACGCTCCTGTTGATTTCGTTCTAATCACCCTCAGATCGTGTTCCCAAATTCCGGGTTTCTGCAAATTTTCCCCTTTTATTCACTAATCGAGGTTTAATTGCTTTTGATTCGTGAAATTGGATTCGGATTTAGGGTTGTTCTCCGCTTTAAGCTTCAATCCTTAGTCCACCAGCATCTTGACAACTCCCTGAGAATTTAGGAGGGAATTAGCTCTTCTCCAGATCTTGCTTCGCTCTTGTACAGCTTCTTACCTTTAGCATTCCCCTTGTTTATAGTTTGATCAGAACGTACTTACGAATGGTCTACTTTTGTCTCCATTCTTTTTGCAGAATGGCGGATTTGCTACCCATTTACCTCATTGTCGTAGCATTTCTATGCACTGTCGGAGCCATTGCTTTGGCTTTGTTTCATATCTACAAGCACCTATTGAACTATACGGAACCCATTTATCAGAGATATATTGTGCGCATCGTCTTCATGGTCCCGGTGAGTAGTAGTATCTTTCTTCTGTTTGTCTATCCTGATCTGTGAACTCCATTTTCATGTTGAATTCTCTCCAGCTAACATGTTATTGGTTCTTTTGGCATGACAGGTCTATGCCTTGATGTCATTCTTGGCTCTCGTTTTGCCCAAGAGCTCTATATATTTTAACTCTATCCGTGAAGTGTAAGTCTTTCTGATTTTTCATATATGCTAGTGTAACATGGGATGTACTTACTCGACTTACTATACTAAGTTCTCATCGACTCTTGAGAATACTTTTCACCTTTGGTTTCAAACAAATGCAAACCTGATGGTTAAGGCTTTGTAATCTTTTTCTGTTACAGTTATGAAGCATGGGTGATTTATAATTTTCTATCGCTGTGTTTGGCATGGGTTGGAGGCCCAGGTTCAGTAGTTATAAGTTTAACTGGTCGATCTCTGAAGCCATCGTGGCATCTCATGACATGTTGCTTCCCTCCACTACCATTAGACGGGTTAGTTTGCAAAATGAACCTACATTCTCTGTTCTTATATTGGTGGCATTTGCATATTTCTTTGATATCTCCTACGATTTTTCACTACATCTGTAAACTTCTTAAATACTTGATAAAACCAGGATTTATAGATGAGTGTTTTTCAATCATTTGGTTGCATGCACTCTGTGGGTTATCAGAAGCATTAGATGTTTTCGTCCACATAGATTATCATCATGGGTTTGAATCTCATTTATGGGTTTTATGGCCACTGTCTTAGCTTAACATGTGTTAGCTCATACCCGATTATCTTTTGATGAAGGCGTTTTATTCGACGGTGCAAGCAAGGTTGTTTGCAATTTGTTATTCTAAAGCCAATCCTAGTTGCTGTCACACTTGTGCTTTATGCAAAAGGGAAATACAAGGATGGAAATTTCAGCCCTGACCAATCCTATCTCTATCTTACCATCATCTATACAATATCATACACAGTAGCTTTGTACGCGCTGGTCCTCTTTTACGTGGCATGCAAAGATCTGCTTCAGCCATTCAATCCAGTCCCAAAATTTGTGATTATAAAGTCTGTCGTCTTTCTAACCTATTGGCAGGTAATTTGTCTTACTCGCCTGCTATCGAGTTTTGGCATTAACTTCTACCTTTTGCTATTCTCCACAAATATTTAACACATTCCTTCTGTCTGGCGAACCTGTGTAACAGGGTGTTCTAGTTTTCCTTTTTGCTAAATCTGGATTTATAAGGGATGAAGAAGAAGCAGCGCTCTTCCAAAATTTTATAATATGTGTGGAAATGCTTATTGCTGCAGCTGCTCATTTCTATGCATTTCCGTACAAGGAATATGCAGAGGCCAATGTTGGAGGAGCTCGCAGTTTCTCAGGAAGTCTGGCACATGCTCTTATGCTAAATGATTTCTACCATGATACTGTTCACCAGGTAACCGATTCGTTGTATATTGAAATGACTGATCTAAGTCCTTTTGGTGCAATGATGATGATGGGTTTGCGGTTCTTGCAGTTTGCCCCAACATATCACGATTATGTGCTCTATAATCATAATGATGGTGGTGAGGAAGGGACAAGGAAGTACCGAGCACGAACATTTGTGCCAACTGGTCAGGAAATGGATGCTGTCAGAAAGAACAAACACATGTTTGGAAACAAGATAGATGGTGTTTCGGTCTCTAATCAATCTTCAGAAACAAGCACACCCAAAACCTCTGGTGATCCTGCACGCCCTGAGAGCATGAAATCTTCCTTGCTGGTAGATGCCTCAGACTCGGTTTCCACAATGTATGACATGTCGCTAATTGACATCGATATATCGAGCTACCCAAGCAAGGTACCTTCTGCAAATATAAGTGGAGGACCTAAATAGTGGGTAAAATGATGTAGAATCCACCATTAACAGTAACAAAAGTGTTAGATTTAGGAATCGCTCAAGTGTGTTGTTAAGCAGGAAGATGGAGATATATGTTTTTTTTTTCTTTGTATGTTGTTATCTTGTTGTTCTTATGAGTCTTCTTCCACTGGTATTTGTTTACTTAGCGCAGCCTCTTTCTTGTTTTTGCTTATTTGGTTTGTAGATAATATTAAAATGAATATGGCATATTGGTTACATAATCTCAAAAATTGTGAATCATTTGGTGTGGAATTAGAAAGAGTTAGATAGAGTTTGGAGCTATGCGTATTGAAGAGTTTGGAGCTGTTCGGCTATCTCCTTATATGTTCCTTTCAGACTGCGAATAATAAAATATATCTGTTTGTCTGATATTTATGCAAACATTGTATTAATTGTAGTCTACAACCAAAAAATTGTTTATTTTGTCGTGCTTACACAATTTAGTAAATTAAAAATATAAATAAACCCAAGACCCCAGCAACAAAGCATAACAATAAACCAGAAACATTCATCTTTTGAAAAATGTCAAAATCATTATGTCACTCCACATCATTTTAAAATTTATATTCTTGAAAATCATACAAAATTCAGACTAAATTGCTAGTCCATTATTATAAAATGAAAACAAAAACAGTCATACGTGTTACGTATGTATTTTAATCTACATATTTGTATAAGCAGAACGTGACCATTGAACTTTCTCAATTGATATTTTTACTTGTTGGGAAGTTAGATTAAAGTCTCACCTAGATATAGTGTATTTGATTTGACGAGACCACTTTTTTTATTTTAGTAAATAAAAAACAGAGACTCCATTAAAAGCAGAGAGAGTAGTACGTCAAAAGGCAAAGCCAAGCCAACAAATATTTAAAGCAACAACGTGAAGCACTTGAAAACACGATTGAGATTATATCCAACCAAAAACCCTATTCGTTGTAGCTACGGCGGATTTGGCGGCGGCTGCGAAGTGTTTCAGTGTTTTACAAGTTAACCAAATTAGCCAGCACCGGAATCTACTGCAAGAAATCTCAACCCACCCCTTTTAATACACAATTCTTTACTTTCTTCTAAAATCTCAATTCCCATGAGCAGCAACGGCGTTTTGCAGAGCAACAACGGTTACTATAGCTATGGCTATGGAGGAGGAGGATACGTGGAGAAGAGACAACTATTCCTTAAGAGCTACCAATTCTCAAGGAAACAGAGTTTAACAGAGAAGATCAAGATATCCGTGAAGAGAGTGGTCAAGAAAGTTGTTTGGATGAGGTTGAAATCTGCTAGAAGACTGAAACGCGTCGTTTGGTCACGTCTCAAAACGGCGTTTTTCTACCGCCGTAGACGTTTCTTTCGTCTCCTTCATCCAAACAAACCCGCTTCCTACTGTTTCTACTAAGGTTTCTATTTGACTTCTTTGTCTCTGTTTCTTCCTTGTTGTGTGTGCATAGTTAGCTGCGTGCTTAAAGTTAAGATTCATGTTGTTTAATTCACTTAATAATCTTGTTATGTTTAAGGATTGTGATCAAGTTTTCGACTTTGGAAAAATAAAAGAGTTATCAAGATTTTTGTTTTGTGATTTAGAAAGAGACTTTAGGATACGAAAGATCATGCAGGAAATGTGAACCTATCGTCAGATTCAATTAATGTTGGTATTTTTATATCAATTAATTAATTTGTGAATCATAGTCATTACACAATAACGTAAACGAGTCAGCTTCCTCTTTTCTCGTGTCCTCTTCCCCAACAAGTCAGTGATACGTTTTCGTAAGCGAGTCGTCTGCTTTTCTTACCAATTTTGTTCCATTTTTTTTAAGATGATAAATCTTATATTGGGCCTCTTCTGGGCCTAGTGTGGGTCCATTTAGTTTTCAGTGGACCTGTATTCTTGAACTGATAAGTCCACGCGCATCAGAAGCACGTTTCTCTCACGCATTTGGCTGTCTTTGGAGTTGAAGCCAAAAAAAGTTGGCTAAACAATCTTGATATCTCTTTTTGTTAGAACTAAAAACAAAATCGAGTAGGAACATAGATAGATTTTCTTTTATGCTTGTTGATGAACTTTATAAGTTGGGAAAAATCAGGAAATCAGACCGAAAGTGGTTAGCTAAAGCGGATACATGTTTGTGTTGAAATATACATATATATTGTTAGAAACAAATAATGGGGATAAAAATAGACACTAGCAACCAACTTATTCCTCGTCACCATCCAATCATTGTCGACTACGTGATTTACAAATATTTTTGGACCTTTGTCTCTTCTTTTTCTTATTATTCTTCTTCTCTCCTTTGTTATTGTCACATTGGGTCAGGGATTGCCCCAAAATCATTCAGATTTTAGAAGAACTACTCTTCTCAACTAACTCTAACTCTCTTAACATTAGTTAATTAGAGAGACTTCCAAATTCCAATCATTTGAGATATCTCCTCGTATCTTCCCCTCATTTCCTTTTTAGCTAAAGTAAAAGTGAGCATTAAATTAAAATCTTTGGTAAATGCATTATTATCATTTGAAAACAAAACCGGAATTCCCTTTGTTCCACGTAACCAAACTAGCAAAAGTTCAAATGTATAATCTTGTCTTTCTTCTCTTTTGACATCATATCATCTTGTTTCAAATGGGACATACAATTTTTCTTATCCGGATTTTAATTTAGCATTTGAAAATCAACTAAAAATGGAAGATGATTATTATTTCCCATTTCCGCAAAACTCCATCGTAAATTTCGGTTTGCCCAATATGCTAACTAAAACTTATGAATCACATATCACTCCAAAACACAAAAGGATTTGTTTTCTTATAGCAGCATCACAATCACAGCCTTAACCGCGTAGGTCCATATACAGAGCATCTGCTTATGTGGTTAAACAAGAGCTGCCCATTTTAACAGATTTTTGGATATTTTTTGGGTTTTAAATGAAAAATAAAGAATAAAATCATGTGCTTTAAGAATCTTTCTTACTCTCTCTGTCTCTTTATACACATGCCTTAAGCCACTTTCCTCACAATCATCATCATACTGTTCTTCTCCTTATCTTTTGAAGCAAAAACACTTCCTTTTTATAGTCCTGCTCTGTTTTTTCTTTTCCTAGTTTCATATCTCTTTGTTTCATTCTTAACCTTCATTAGACAGTGACTTTGTATTGTCCTAAAACAAAAACAACAAAAACAACAAAAATCTTAAAAAGAAACCGAGATGTTGCAGGTTGTAGGCAAGTACCGTTGGAGACAATCATATCGGTACAAGAAGCTAACTGATCAACATGAGAAATTGACAACAACACCACCAACGACAACAACAACAACGAGGTCGTCGGCCAAAAGACAAAACATGGGGAAGAAGAACGAGATTCGAGCAAAAGGGTTCAGAGTAAATCGGTCAAGGAAGCTGGTTCTTAAGGCATTAGCTTTGCCCACAAGGATCTTTAACATTTATATGCGCATCACAAATCAGATGAACAAAGAAGGTTTATATCCTAATCTCGTTTTCTCTTCTCATTGGGGTTTCCCTGGTCTGCTGAATTCAAGAGGTGGATTCCGTTAGTGAGAAGATATCTTATTCTGATTACTAAAAAAATAATGAAACATGCATAGAAATGTAAACCCAATGATTACATTACATACGTGATACATACGATGTTTTCCTAAATTACAATTTGGAGGATTATATGAACAGAGTTCAAGTCTCTTCCATAGTTCATAGCAAGTTGTTAAGTGATTCTATTAAAATCCTTATCACCCTTGGTCAAATACAAGTAAAGTTTTTTTTTTTTTTAAGAAGAAGATTTGCAGTCATAAAGGACACATAACTTTACAAAAGATTCGAACTTAACAAAACAGGATGTGATGATTTGTGACAATCATAAGTCTTGTCACAAATAAAGATAAGACTTGGTCAGATGATAAAGAAAGGGTTTAAAGAAACACTAGAAGCATGTCAGTACAAAAAAAACAACTAACTTCTTTTGTTGCAACCATGTTATAAAGGAACTAACTTCGTGGTACATAAAGGAAGGAAAAAATCGGCGTTTCAAGTCCTCATGTATGAAGGATTTGTGAAAGCCCAATTTTGCAATATTTTTAAGAGCTAGAAAAAATATATATATGAGGAGATTGGTACAAATTAAGGAAGATGTGGTGCGGCGTGAATCATCAAAAGAACTGGAGAACATTTTACGCATGTCTTTTCGATTGATACATACTTATTTGAATCACATCAGTAGAGAGAAGTATATTAGCATTAGTGTTTTCTTTTTTAAAATTGATATAAAAGCATATTATTATAACTTAATCATATAACCGAAACGGGCGATGCCGAATCTAATAATGTTTAATTAGTAAATTAATTAATGAAGATATATTATAACACGAAAAATCAATTGCGATTTGAGAGTGAGAAAGAGCCAGCGAGGTTTGGAAACAGAAAGCGTGAAGGAGACCGTATCAAGTAGAGTCCAGACATTTGGCTGTGTCTCGTCACCGTTGATTATTATTCTGATAGATCGATCTCTAGTTTTGGATAGACTTGATCCTCTAGTTTTCTATCCAAATCTTAGGAAAAAAAACTGATTCTGGTTAATGCCTGTGAGTTACTCTGAGGTTACGGTGGTTGAAGAAGACAATGAACAGAACGAGAGAGATAATGATAACACCATTAAGAAGAAGAAAAAGGAAGCTAAAGGGAATCGATTCTTGATTCCTTTTGTCTCAAAAGCTAAGAAACGCATCGTATCTAAGATCACAAGGAAACCCTTATCTCCTGCTTCTTCTGGGTTTTGGAAAAGAGTTTGCTTTTGTGGAACTGAACCTACCAATTCATTGGAGTGGTCATCTTCTTCCAATCCTGACCCTGAAGATGTCAACTTTACGCTTAGGGTTCTGCTACAAACCAATGATTTCTTCTCCAAGGATTCTAATCCACATCTCTGTTTGTAAGTTCATATAGTGTAGTTTTCATTTAGTATAATACCAAATCTGTATAGATCTTCTTTCAAAATTCATCAATACCCACAAGTGTGTTCATCAATGTACTAAAGATTTGTGCAGAACATATTGAAATTGGTTATTGCCACAGAGTGATTATTGTTAATCAATCTTGTATATCCTCTTATACCCACAAGTGATTGTTACCTTTAACACATCCAGGGTATCCATTTTCAATGTTTTTGTTCACTTTCCTGTATCACCCCTGCATTGGAGTTTATTAAAAGTTTGAATGTTGCTGAGACACTGATGTAGTTGTTGTTTTGCAATTGTTATATGGATTCAAGCATCTCTCTGAAGCCGCGTAACCCTTTTGCTAGTTATGCGTATTAAGTCTTGATTATGCAAATGGTAATCTCCAATCACCATTTGTGTATTGAATCTGAATTCTAACCACAGGGTGATTATGAAGAAGGTGCTTGGATAGTTCTTTTATATGGTTGATGTTTCAGAGTTATAGCATGCCTCTGTGTCCGTTTTTGAGATATGGTTTGCCTCTAAACTCAGCTGAGAGTTCTGCCATTGAATCTACTGGATTGAAAGCACAACAGAGGACCCGAGATTCTTGCAGTAAGGTATGCTTCAAGAACAGTCGATTGTTCAACGAAATATAGACTCTAGAGATTGTTTAAACATGTGAAAACTGGTCTCATTGTAATCAATTGGACCAAATATTGTCAAAAGAGTATCTACAACAATAAAGAAAAGAATAAAGAATAGTTACAAGCTTTTGTTTAGAAGTTTACATTTTTATGTTCATCATTGTATATCATTATTACATTAATTCTCTGGTCTGAAACCTATTTATTTCTTTGGTGGGAATTTGCCCTTAATCTTCTGAATCTCTGGTGCTCCAACTCCGAACGCCTTGGCAAGCAGGTCATCAGGAATCGGTGGGTTAGCACCAAACAGAGAAGGTCCAACAACTTGAGTCCCGGGAAGCTGACTATCGAAAGCAGCGAGAACGGATGCAGGAGCATTGTTAGGGTTCTGCTGGAAATGGAGGAGAGCTTTGGGGAAAACAAAAACGTCTCCTTTGTTGACGTGTTTGGAGATGAGTTTCCCGCCAGTGGTTAAGAAACCGACGAAGAGGCGGCCTTCAAGGACGAAGATGGCTTCGGAGGCTCTTGGGTGAAGATGTGGTGGGTTAAGTCCGCCTGGTGCGTAGTCGATCCTAGAGATGGAGACTCCCATAGTGTTGAGGCCAGGCACTTTCTCAACGTTGGCTCCTGTAACAGCTGAACCCATTGTGGAGTTGGCTGTGGCTGCAGCAGTGGCTAAGCCTACGAAGTAGAAGTCTTCTGGTGTTACTTTTGCTGGGTCTTTGCAAGGGTATCCGTTGACTTTCACACCTAATCAGAACATGATAAAAGTCAACAAATCTGCGCTTGCATTTATATTTCTGCTAAATGTAAATGCAAGCAGAACATAAATGTTATAGAGAGATGTGATACCGTTGGAGAGATCAGCAACACAGAAATCTTGAAGCATGTTTGTATCGGCGATGGCCATGTGGGCGGCCACGAGCATGAAGGTGACGAATATATGGATCATGGAAGTTGCCATTGTTGATTGTTGTTGTTTGTGAAATGTTGTTTGATGAATTTGAGAAAATCCTTTGAGCTTGTTTCTCAATTTATATATCCATGTAAAGAAGATTTAACCAATGGAAAACCAATGGAGAAGAGATAAACATGGAGAGGGCCATATGTGTGTTAATTTTAAAATTTTGCCATAATTAGGTTTAGGTGATCTAATCGTTGGTTAAAATTTGGTGTTTAAAAAGGGTTTTGTTTGTTGGAGACATTAATTAGCCTATAGTTATAGGATGACACTCACCATGATAAAAACACCTTCGAACTCTAATAATCACCAAACTCGAAATGATTGATGATTTTGGTTGTTTATTGGTTAAGATAGAACTCAAGAGGTTTGTTTGGTTCAGCTAAATCCAAACCGGGAAGGCATGGATCAATTTCTATCCAAGTAAAACCAAAACCTTAAACCGGCTAAAGGTGAACCAAGTTGGAATTTCTCTATCCATGCATTTGCATGATCATAAGATATACAATATAAAACAACATTTGGGGTCAAGTAAGTACAAAATGAGATAGAATATGGGACTTCAAAATATATTCATAAATTTTCAAGATTAAACAAATTCCTTCCTCAATAATGTCCCAAGTAAGTCCATAAGATGGTGGCTGAATACCAACTAAGCAAATTCCCAGAACCTCTTATTCAATTAATGATACAAAAACATGCATCTAAGCACGTAGATACTGCAATCTCTTGATTATTTAATTACCAATACAGACCAAACACAACCTCAACTGCTTCAACATTATTCCAATCTGTCATCTCTGTTTGTCTTGTCTTCACATTGTTTTTTTAATAACTTCATCTCTGCCTTCTTCATTCCTCCAAAATTCCTCTAATCCATTTCTCTTCCTTGGCTAATCCATCATGACTGTCAAGGTAAACTATCTAGTAATAGTTCTTTTTCAAATCTGACGCCGAATGATTCAATTTTTATTGTGGTTTTGAGCAGAAAGTTGAGATCAAGGTAGATATAAACTGCGGAAAATGCAACAGCGCAATCATGGAAGCAGTCACAGAGATAGAAGGTAATGAACAAAAAAAGACTTAATGAAGAAATATGTGCTCTTAACATATCCTATTGAACATGAGAATTGATCGATGCAGGTGTGAATCATATTTCATTAGATGAAGGGAATAGTATACTTACGGTGGTGGGGACAATGGATCCGGTCTGCGTTGCAACAAGACTGAAGAAGATTAAACAGAAACCTGTAATCATTAGCGTTGGACCACCACCAAAACCTCCTGAGCCACCAAAGCCTCCAGAGCCTGAAAAACCAAAGCCTCCACCAACACCTGAACCACCAAAGCACGTATGCAAGCCACCTTACTGCAACAGTTGTGATGTTGTGTCAGTTACTACATATGAAAGTGGAAGCGGCTGCACCATTCTTTGAGTCCTGTATCTTGTACCATAGCCTTCATGTTAAGTCCTATATTTAGCCAATACTAATTTATCATGCTCATGCTTTTTTTCTTTTCTTTTTCTCAAATATATATGAATCTCTGTTGTTTGTCCCTCCCATAGTCCCATGTTTTCAATTAGTTGCTTCTTTGACACATGTCGAATGAGCTTCATGCTAAAGAAAAGGAAAGTTCAAAAACACCAAATTTTTGATTAATTTCCATAAACATGTGAAGCAGAAGAAAGTGAGGCTGTCACGGAAGATAGTTTAGTCATGTTGACCTGAACAGAGTTGAGGGATCCATATCTTTTTAGAAGATAACACTCATATGCCATGTGCTATTGGGTCGTAGCACTCTTAGGCCCATTAACTTCATTGAGCCCATTAAATTATTGAAAACAAGAAAATGGACATATGGAAACTTTGGGGTTCTCACGGAAAACATTAAAAAAGCAGGGACAAGTATACAAAACTTAGAAAAAAGAGGCAAGTGGACGACCACGGCGTAAGATCAACATGTGGTGATGTGCATGAGACCAAGACCATTTTTCTCGTTCTTCGACGCACACTTGGTCTTTTCTTATTTTTGTTGCATTCTCTAAAATAGACAGACCCTCTCTCTCTCTTGTTTTTTTAGGATAGTTAAATATGATTATGTTTAGTTGAACATATTGGGTTAAAATCTAAACTTATTGTAAACATTTCGTAGAGTACGAATTCCTATACGACATCCATCAACATGAACTATAACCAAAAAAATACAGCAGATGAAACTACTTTATGTAGCAAAACCTAAAGCAGTTAAAATCTCCTTTAAACTAGTATTTGGTGTAATTGACATGATTGCGTCGAAATAAATCAAAACAGTTATATGGTGTTTCAAAACATGATTGCTAGCATATGTGTAGTGTAGGTATCGTAGACGTTACATAACAATCATCACTCGTAAATATCAAAGTGGTTTCTGTTTCTCTCAAACTCAAAGGGTTATGATTTTCCCCAACTTCCCATTATATCATCAGCACTAGTATATTGTTTCTTTCACACGTATGCTTCTGCCCAAAGTGGAAATATCATAATTCATAAGGCTTCGTTATGCTTAAGTCATGACGTAAAATGAAATTTGTTTTTATTCTTTCACCAACCCAAAAGAATAGTTTTTTCTCTCTTTTTTTTCATCAACAAGAGGGGACTGGTTTGGGAAATATAACTCTTGAAATATGTACATATTATTTTACCAGCAGATATATAAAAACATATTTCAAGAGTTATATTTATATATATATATAGATCTAATCTAATCAGATTCTTTATCGAAATATTGAAATAGATATATATGTCATTATGTTTGACAATTACAGATCAGCTTAATAATCCAATCGAATTGCTAATCTAGAGATGGAAATATCAGGATAGAGCCAATAAGATATGAAATCCAATGGACCCATTTTCTCCATGTGCAAATTATATCTGTTTTTGTCTGCTTTATTTGATGATGATGATACTGAGCGTTTTAAAGTGTGAACTAAGATCTAGCAAACCAAAAAAGATGGTCTCTTCTGTCTTTGTCATATAACAAGAGAAGAGAGTTGTTTGATTTAATTTTAAATAAAACTCCAACCGTGAATCCAGCCATGAAACTCTTTTAGAAAATCCTTTTTTTTTAATAAAAATAATTCCTTCTTCACTTACTCTGCTTCTTCTTCTTCGTTTAGCCCAGAAAAGCCCATTCTTTTTTCTTTCTTGTTTATTTTAATCACACTGTTCGTTTCTACAAAGTTTGTTCCTTTCTTCTTCAACTCTCTCACTCACAGTCACAGAGATCTGTTTATCTCTTTTTTTTTTGCTTTCACTCTTCACCTTCCAGTGAGAGAGTGAGAGAAAATGGAGAAGCTTTTGGTAGTAGGGTTTGTTGTGGCTGGGATAATACTGGGAACTCAAGCAAATGAATATTTAGATTTCAATGTGACAGAAATAGATCGCATTGAGGAATTAGAGTTTGGATTCTCCAAATATAGCTCCAATCTAAACCCTTTAATGGTTGGCCTCACCCTTATCAGAGGAGCTGATTCTGGAGCTGGTACTTTCTCTCTGCTTCTGTCACTAGATCTCTACATGTTATCTTTTGCTTTCCTCATTTATTATTCACTTCAACTACATTCTTCTCATCAGCTTGTTTCCTCTATAGTCTCTACTGTCCCATTCCTGATTTAACTTGTGTTTTACGTTTATTGTTATGTACTCTTCAAGATTACTTTGTTTTTTTTCCTGTTTTATTGCTTAGAAATGTAAATAAAACAAAATTAATGCTAGTTAAGCTCAGATAAACAAAGTTAGAACTAGAAGCTGTGTATCTTCTGTGTCGGTAGAAATACTAAAAGAAAAAAGTTTGAATTTAGATATGTTTGGACCTTTACATGTTTGTGTAACAGTGTGTTTTTGTTCACAGTTTGTTTGGATGGAACATTGCCTGGATATCACTTGCACCGTGGACATGGATCTGGAGCTAATAGCTGGCTCATTCAATTGGAGGTTTAGTGAATGATTTGTTTGTCGATGAAAGTTACTAATTTAAATCTTCATTGTTAGTGTTTAATGTTTTTGCTACTGAAAATGTGAAACAGGGAGGAGGATGGTGCAACAACATCAGAACCTGTGTATACCGGAAGACTACTCGACGTGGTTCCTCTAATTATATGGAGAAACAGCTTCAGTTTACAGGAATATTGAGTGACAAAGCTCAAGAAAATCCTGGTTTGTCTCAATCTTTGTTCAAGTTTTGTTCGTGTCAGTAATGTAATGTAGTTTTGAGAATCACTGATTCTTATTGTCATGTGCTTGTCTTTTGCAGACTTCTTCAACTGGAATAGAGTTAAGCTTCGTTACTGTGATGGTGCTTCTTTCAGTGGAGATGGCCAGAATCAGGTTCGAATCAATACTTGTTTGAGTTAATAGAGTTCATAAGTGACCCATTGTTGTTTATAATCGTCAAGACTGTTATTAGCCACAGAGAACGCTTGTTTTGATATCAGTTTTGTAGAATTTAGCAGCTTTTGGCTTTGTGTAACATCTGTGAACTAATGCATATATAACTTTCAGGCTGCACAGCTTCAGTTTAGAGGGGAGCGCATCTGGAGAGCCGCAATAGATGATTTGAAGGCGAATGGAATGCGATATGCCAACCAGGTTTTGATACTTAACTTTCTTTTCGTCTCTTAATCTCTATATAGCGCAGGATCAAGATGGTTAACTGTTTATATTCTGTCAGGCACTTCTCTCTGGATGCTCTGCTGGTGGTTTAGCAGCAATCTTGCGCTGCGATGAGTTTAGGAACTTGTTCCCTGGATCAACCAAAGTCAAGTGCTTGAGTGATGCAGGCTTGTTCTTGGACACGTTAGTTTATTTCTCCCAACTCAAAGTTTGTATTATAGCTAGTTCATCTTCCCTAGTAACTGCTATTGACTCCTTTGTTTCTGTAATCATAGTGCCGATGTTTCAGGCGGCCGCACAATCAGGAACTTATACAATGGTGTCGTAGAATTGCAGGTAGGATTCCTATTTCTTCACTTAAAGTTTCTTACTTTACTTTTTAAAGAGCACAATAAACTTAAGAAATCTTCTTGACAATTTACAGAGTGTGAAGAACAATCTTCCACGTATATGCACAAACCATCTCGATCCAACCTCGGTAATCTTTTTCTTTGTTCTCTCATCCTGATGCTGTTGCAAACCGGACCATTTTGAAGTCTTGTATTTGATAACTCATCTTTATGTACAGTGTTTCTTCCCACAAAATCTTATCAGTCAGATGAAAACTCCACTTTTTATCATCAACGCAGCATACGATACATGGCAGGTTATGTTCTTTTTTCTCTTTGGAAACCGCCACATTGCTTCTAAATAGATAAAGTTGATGGTTAGGCTGACATGTCTCTGTAATGGCTTCTAATCAGATTCAAAGCAGTATAGCTCCAACATCAGCTGATCCTAGTGGGTTTTGGCATGACTGCAGACTAAACCATGGCAAATGTACTCCTGCACAATTGAGATTCTTGCAAGGTTGTTCTATAGATCATAAAAACTTGTGGACTTCACCCTTTAAAGCATCATTGTATCACTCTAATCGTTTAATCTTTTATCCGAGAACAGGATTCAGGGACCAGATGCTTAGAGTAGTCAGGGGCTTCTCAATGTCTAGACAGAATGGATTGTTCATCAACTCTTGCTTTGCTCACTGCCAAACCGAGAGGCAAGATACTTGGTTTGCCGATGATTCTCCTGTCATCAGGAAAAAGGTAAAATCTCACTCAAATCTTCCGCACACAAGCAAAGGCTGTTTCCAGATCTTGACTTTGTCTATGGAATGTATGTAGGCGGTGGCAATAGCTGTAGGAGATTGGTATTTCGATAGAGCGGAAGTGAAGTTAGTCGATTGCCCGTACCCGTGTGACAAGAGCTGCCACAACTTGGTGTTCAGATGATTCATTGATTATGTTTCTTTCTTCTCTCATATATACATACCTTAGAAAATTTCTTTCTTTCAAAAGGAAAGATTTTGTATCCTTGGTAGTAACCAATGCCTCATTGGTATATATGATTAAGTGTATCCTGGAAAACCATAATAAAAAAAAACAAACAAACAAAGTTTGCTTAAAAAGAGTTCAAATGTAATCAATCACAGAAAAATGCTCTTTCTTCTGTTTTGTTTTCTTTGCAAATGCAAGTAGTTGAGCTAATAATATTAGAAATGTCAACATTGGTCCCAAAAGAATTCAGCCTAACAAATTCTTTTCCATATCATAATAAGTGTCCAACAAAAGCAGATAATGGATAAGAATAATAATAAAATAGTAAAAAGATAGAGAAAGTGAAAAGAGTAAGAATATACAGAGTGTGTTGACAACTTGACACCCTGTTTTTGTGGGGGGTGTGAGTGACAGCTATCTAGTGTTCCCCACTTTGTGTGTGTATATGTGTGAGCGGTTTTTTTACACCTATCATTTGCTTTCAATTTCTCCCAGTCAAAAAACTAACTTCTTCAACAACTCTGGGAATTATAATCTGAATTTTTGACGTTGAACCCTGTCCATTACTTTTTCTCCTTCTTCTCCTGCCTTGTGAATCTTCTTCCATGGCTTCTGATTCTCACTCTCCAACTGTTACTACACCTGAAAAGGTAAGCTATTTTGAGAATTATCCCTCTGTTCCTGAGACTCTTATTTTCTATGCTCATGCTCATGTATGTACTTATGTATATGTACCTTTATGCTTTTGAGGTTGATAGATATATTAATTCTTCATCATACTTGTAAGATCCATATGCTTTCGCTTTCACTGAGGCAGAGTCGAATATACTTGTATGTGTATGTATACACACAAATATTATAGTTGGGTTGTATGTATTCTTCCACTGTTTTGCTGGAGCAATTATTAGAAGGGAAAAAAAGTTGGAACTTTTTAGAAAGTTGTAGATTATGCACATGGATGTTAAAGAACCAACTTTGTTCATCTTTTTCTAGAAAACTCTTGTTACGTTCCAAACTATGATTCTAGTTTGAGAGATAAACGAAGCAATACCCTTCTATTTAAGAAAGAACGAAGTTTTTGTGTTGTAGAGAATTATAAGAGAGTTTTACTTTTACCTGATGCAGCCATTGGAGAACAAGGTGAGCGAGGAAGCTAAGTTGATGGAGAAAGAGATAGTTTCTTCGGATTCTGCAGATGTGGTGAATAATAAACCGGCATCAGATTCAAACCCGGTGGTTACTAAAGAAGAGGAGATTCATCAAACTCCTGTAGGTGAACCAGAGAAAGAATCACCTTCACTGGTGGAAGAGGTTGGAGCAGTTGTGAAAGCAGAGGAATCTACAGAGACAGAGAAACATGAAAATGGTGAGAAGGAAGCTGAACAACTGGAACTTGAAGAACCAATCCTTGTGAAAGAGGGTGTTACAGAAGTTAATGTTGAAGCTGGTGATGCGGAGAAAGCAGAAGACAAGCCAACCGTGGAGAGTGTTGTTGAAGAAGACAATAAGGATAAGGAGGAGACGAAGATTGTTGATGTATCTGAATCAACAGATGAAGCTGGAGGCAAACAGGTGGAACCAGATGTTCAATCTGTTAGAGATGCAGAGAAAACAGAAGAGAAGCCAACAGTGGAGAGTGTTGCTGAAGAAGACAATAAGGATAAGGAGGACACAAAGATTGTTGATGTGTCTGAATCAACAGATGAGGCTGGAGGCAAACAAGTGGAACCAGTTGATGTTCAATCTGTTAGAGATGTATCTGCAGAGACTGAAGAAGAGAAAATCAAAGATGTGGAGGTTCTTGAAGTCCAGCCAGAGCCAGAGGCTTCCGAAAAAGTTGAGACTCAGCCTGAGAAAGCAAAGGAATTGGAACCAGAAGTTGAAGTAGTAACGGCAGAGGAAACACCTGAAGCAGCAGAACAAGCTAAGGTTGAGCTTGAGGTAAAGCTGGAGGATGTAATTGTTGAGGACAAAGACTCTGAAATGAACCCCAAAGATGAAAAGACTTCTGAATCTGGTTCTGCTTTGTGCCCTGAGGAAATTGTATCGACAAACCAAGAATCAGACACTGACCCCAAAAAGGAGACTGAAAGAGACGCTTCTTCTCCTATTGACGTCATTGAGAAGGCCATTACAGAAGAGAAGCATGTAGTGGATGAACCAGCAAAGGAGGAAAAACCTTCTGAATCAGGTGCTGCTTTGTCCCCTGAGAAAGTTGTACCAATAAACCAAGATTCAGAGGAAACTGAAGGAGAAGCTTCTGCTCCTGCTGATGTCATTGAGAAGGCCATTACTGAAGAGAATTATGTAGTAGGTGAACCATCAAAGGATGAAACGACTACTGAATCTGGTTCTGCTTTGTGCCCTGAGAAAGTTGTACCGACAAACCATGATTCAGACACAAACCCCAAAAAAGAGACTGAGGGAGACGTTTCTGCTCCGGCTGATATCATTGAGAAGGCCATTGCTGAAGAGAAGCATGTAGTCGAAGAACCATCAAATAAGGAAAAAACTCCTGAATCTAGTTCTGCTTTGTGCCCTGAGAAAGTAGCACCCACAAACCAAGACCAAGAAACAGAACCCAAAAAGGAGACCGAAGGATACGTTCCTTCTCCAGCTGATGTCATTGAGAAGACCATTACTGATGAGAAGCATGTAGTCGAAGAGCCCTCAAAGGATGAAAAAGAGAATGTAAGTGAAGCCAAAGATGTCGTTACCAAACTAGCTGCAGAAGATGAGAACATCAAGAAAGATACTGAACCACCTGTTGCAGAAGGAAAGAGCGAAGAGACTTTGAAAGAAACTGATACAGGATCAGGAGAGAAAGAAGCTGCAACAAACAAACAAGAGGAACCAGTTACAGAAAAAGTAGCAGAGGTTGTAGAGACAGCACCTGTTGTTAAAGAGATCGATGAGCCGAAACAAGAAGCAGAAGTCACAACCAAAGAAGTTCCTGCTAAGCAAAAACATTCAAACAGCATAATATCAAAGGTGAAGCAATCTCTTGTTAAGGCAAAGAAAGCAATCATTGGAAAATCTCCAAGCTCTAAGACTATTACAACTGAAGAAGCCAAAGAAGAAATCAAAGTCAAGTGATAAAGTGTTCAAGTTTAAAGTTTTCAGTCAGGTACTGTTATTTAATTTGTTGGTTTTGCTTCGTGTGGGAGAAAACAAAAAAAGAACATTTTTTTTCTTTGTTTTATGGCTTTGTGTGGTTTATAACTTATATCTGTAAACATACAAAGATTTGCCTTTGTGTTATGGATGTGTGTTGAAAAAATTTCTTTACGATTATCATTCATCAGCATTACATTTCATGAATAAGCCACCATATCATTTGAAATCTCAGAATCAGAATAAAATAACAACTTGTCCTATAGGAGTTTTCTGTGCGGAATTTCATCAAACACCTTCTCCGCACAATGCATCTTCCGACAATTTTACCAATCAATCAATTCGTTACCCACAAAGACAGAAAACCTGATCCAGTGATTTCAAGTGATAAGGAGGATAAAAGTGATAATCAACGTGAAAGAGATGAACTTTTTGACGCCCTTTTCGACTGAGGAGAAAAACAGCAACTTTGATCGATGAATAAAAAATCGATTAGGGCATGGATCTGAGTAAACATAAAGCAGGTTTCGGGTCAACAGGAAAGTTCTGAGAAGCTTCGTATAGACAGGAATTGACGTCTATGGCGGTCGAATTTGCATGAGTGAGATGTTTCCATGAGGATTTTTTGGAGGGAAAATCAGAATCTGGTTCATGTCAGTTTCACGTTCCGGTATTATCGTAGAAAAAAGCTAAAAAAACCCGTTTAAGTGATCCTTTTGAAAATGGGCCTGTAATGGGCTGAGACTTAATTCCAATTTAAAACTTTAAAGAGTGGATGACCTAATATGCTAAGACCAATGTCGGCAGATTTTTTTTTTTTTTTTTTTTTTTGCAAAGTTCTTCTTGTCAACCATATTTCAATACCAGCGAATTTGAAAACGAGCACAAAGAATAAAAATCTTGAATTAAAGTCAAGTTTGAATAGAAGAATAGACCAATTTGAAAGGATAAGAACAAGCAAGACATTACCACTAATTTTATAACAAAATAAAAAGGACATTACAACTTTGATTAAGACATCATATATAAAGTAAATCTATTAATATTTTGTGGTGTCAATTCAATGCCACGGTTTATGCGTTGGTGTCGGCCAGAATATTATATAACTAATTAAAATCAATTTAAAAAAGAATAATGAAATCAATAATGGTCATTTTTATGAAGGACAGGAGGAGTGTTGAGGAGTGAGTGTCAAGAAAGCAACTTTAGGAAGAAAGAACATATGCTATTATGCTGACAGACGAAGCCAGAGTAGCATGATTTACACCAAGTCACTAATGATGATCTTCTAAATATCACTTATTTTACAACTTTCTTGCTTTCCTCCAAGGATTATTCTTCTAGACAGCTAAGCTTTGTTGTCATCGATAAAATTATATATTATTGATTGGGTGCTAATCAACTTTACTCTAGTTTTCTCTAGAAAAACGGAAGTCTAGATGAAAACAAAACAAATTCAAAGTTCAACAATCATAGAGCAACTAATGTAGTACAAAGGGTATATGTATTGCTTGTAATATTAAAAGAGTCTAATCAAAATGTCAACAATTGAAATATTATTTTCTGGATAAAAAAATTATAAATAGTTTTGTTATATGATTAACTCTACTTAGATGCAATCAATCGCATAAATAATATAAAAGTCATAAGTTTGAAATATTTTAAAATGATGGGAAAAGGGGCTAAAAATTAGTATGTTCTTGTTTCTTATCCTTAAAAAATATGGACCGAACAAAATTTTGAAAAATAAGAAGGTACGCAAACAAAAATTCAGAGATTTAGTTTTGGTTGAGAATACTTTAAACCAAAGGAGTGTAAAGTGATTAAGCACCATGTTCTATGGAGTTATGGAGCATGGGTTTTGGCACGTGAGAGGACGGCCGGGTAATGCATTGACAGACATGAAAGCATGTGAGTGGACCACGTGTCATAAGCCTGTTGGTAGAATGTATATGTATATCCATACCTCTCGCCGACCTCCACGGCGGAGATTGTCCCGGCCCACATTCGTGTACCGACATCAATATGGTTTTGAGTAATATTTAGGGTTTGATGAATACATATAAGAAGAATGTGTTGTGCTACGTGTACCTTATGTGTTAAGCCACTTAACTTTCTGACAAGTACCGTGAATTTTAGTCAAATCTAAGCTTTCATTCTGGTCTTAATCTTGAAAGCATTTGTTTGTTATCAACAAATAAAATATTCCGAAGAAACATGTCAATTACAAACAGCACTAATGTAGTCCGTGTGTAGACTTTGAGTCTTTGGTAACAAAATAAAAAGCACATTAAGGCTAGACTAATAGGATACCAGCACCATACTGGAAACCTAAACCAAATACCAAATTTCAACAACTTTCAACTGCGTTTACTGGTCTACAAATTAATTGTTATGTACCAGTTAACCGTAGTCGAACACGCTTATTCAATTTGTTATTTATCGTGCACGCCATCTATATAGTTGGTCATTTCTTTAGTTCCAAATCACCTTAAATTTATATTATTTCATGCCACAGTTAATATCAAATATATAATGAGACTCATTCCTGATACTTTTAAGAAATTTAGTTTGATATGATGTTCCTTTATTATTTTTTGGTTTGATTCAAGATAAGAGTAAAACTAAAACTAAAAGAAAGGAACAGATCTTACTAGAGAATATAAAATTTTAAAACGAATCAAGTGTATGCAATTATTAATTTGAAATTATCAATTAATTAATTTGTTTGAAGTAAAGTTTTACATACATCATAAGTACCAAAGAAAAAGGAAACTATAAATAAAATCATTTAGATTTGCCCAAAAACAATCTTTAAAAGGAGAAAAAGAAAACCTATTACTCCTACAAGAAAGGGAGAAGTTACAGAGTAAGAACCACGTGGATATGCTCATAAAATATTTCTAAAGTCGGGTCTATATATAGGAGAGTAGCGAAAGTCCACAATCATCAAGATTTAGTGTTTGAGCAAAAAAAAAAAAAACCATAAGAAATATTTTCTTAGAAATTTGAAGAGCTTGAAAATGAGTACAGCCACTTTCGTAGAGATTATTCTGGCTATCATCTTGCCTCCTCTCGGCGTCTTTCTCAAATTTGGTTGCAAGGTACACCATTTATATTTTTACTCTGCCTCTTTTCATTAGAAAGAGTGATTTTTTAAATCTCTTAAAATTTTCAGATTTTGACAATTTAATTTGTTTTTTTGCAGGTTGAGTTTTGGATATGTTTGATTCTGACGTTGTTTGGTTATCTTCCGGGAATTCTTTACGCTCTTTATATCATCACCAAGTGATTTTTCCAATATCCTCTGTTCTTTCCTCTTGCTCCTCGTAAGCTTTCTTTCTCCACGATCTCTCTCCCTCAATGTATATTAATCCAATCATATAAACATACATATGCGTAGATGTGATGAACATAGAACGAGATTAGATGAATTATCTTTGATATACTAGAACAATATATGTTTTACACTAAGAAATTATGTATATCTTCTCAATAAAATAAAATAAAAAGAAAAAGAAAAAGAAATATTATCTATATATATATGTTAGGTGAACCACATTTTCGGAGATATTGTCATAACTACTATTCACTTTGTTACATTTTTCACAACATTATCGAACAATACGTTTTAGTATCAATTAAAAAGATAGTTGAAATAACATTATGAAAGTTTTTCATTTCAATTTACATTTTTATTAGTACAGGGAATTTTCTAACCTAAGTTTCACTTTTATATTTGTTGTTATTGTGTAGGAGGAACAGCTGTTTCGTCGTGCTCTTCTCTCTTTGGGACTGATTCATCATTTATTTTATGTTATGAGCAATTGATTATTATTGTTGTATTTGCATTATTGTATAATTTCTGCTGATATGAAGAAGAAATCGTTGGTTTATGTGAGGAACTTGTTTATTTCGTTTTTTAACTATTGGTGAGCAGATTTGTATTTTGGACCACCATTAATACAAATTTAAACCAACTCTATATAAATCCATGGTCACATGTCTCGTTCGCATCACCAACAAATTTGCACCTTAAGTTAAAAAAACTCACGTGGTCCATGAGAAAATACAACAGAATCATCCCCACCGGTTATTAGTAACCCAATTTTGATATATACGTTTTTGTCGTCTAATAGTTGACATGAATCAGTTGAATCGACTATACAATTTATGTAATATCTTTATTTTTGGAAAAAACACTAGTGGAGAAATAGAGTTTTAAAACTTAAGAGATTAATTTAACTACCTAAATTTGATGAATCTTATTACTTACTTATCGGAGATGGATACAGAGCAAAGAAATAGGCAAACAAGTATTTATCCGGAGGTCAGTGGCATAGGATTTTGTAGTCGGTCACAAAGTTACGTAACTACTTACAATGCACTTTTGACGTATATAATAAGAAGTTGACTCTAAGATAAAATTGTTGAAATTGATAAATACATGTATTATCGTCGAGATCACACGAGTACTAACTATGACGCACAAAGAAAGACTGATGATATATAGCAAAATAATAATTATTAAAAATGCTATTTTTTTCCTTACGCTCTTTGGACACGTTATGGATGCTCCTAATGCTAATTAGTAGTGGTTACGAAAGATTAGGAACCTATCTTGCCAAAACAAATATCCCTTTCGCCTTGTAGGAAAAAGAAAAGAAAAACAAAACAAATCACTCATTTAGCTTAAAGGTAAAGGAAACAAATTAAAATAAAAAAAGGAAAGCAATACGTGGCTCAAAAATATCTTAAAAGTTGGTCTATATAATGTGAGAGATATACATGAAGAAGAGAGTAAAGAAGATACAAACACAATTTGAAGCTTTTAATATATTTTTCTCAGAAACTTCAAAAGAGCTTTAGAAAAATGGGTACAGCTACTTGCGTTGATATTATTATCGCCATCCTCTTGCCTCCACTCGGTGTCTTTCTCAGATTTGGTTGCGGGGTATTTATCTTTCTTCTCATAGTTAGACTCAGTTTTATTTTAGTTAATTAATCTTGTAATTAGTCATATCGAGTTCTTTTTTTGACATATTTATCCACAAAAGAAATTAAAAGTTGGAATTATGAATTTGTTTGCAGGTTGAGTTTTGGATATGTTTGGTTTTGACGCTGCTTGGGTATATTCCTGGGATCTTATACGCCCTTTATGTCCTCACCAAATGATTTACCATCTATGATCTATCATCTCCTTGTAAGCTCTCTCTCCACTCTTTGGCTCACTCTTCTTAAGAAGACTCATCTTTTGATATAGTTTGTATGAAGATTTTCCGTTGGGAAATTAAGTATATGTTTGGGTAACCTACGCATTACAGAGCATGCTAATTTGGTTTAAAGCAAACGATAATCAAAACTAAGAAAATTAACAAAAAATTATGTTATGAAAACCCTAGTTTCAAGTTATAAATATTATTCTTATAAGAAATTTATTATTAATATTAATTAAGAAAGATATTGTTCAAACCACATAATTAATGTGTACAGATAGAGATAAGTATCTAGTTATTAAGAAGATAAGATTATGAGGATTTTCTGATTCAAAAGAGAGTAAGGTATTGTTAATAGTATTTACTATGAGATAAGAATATAATGTGGATAGAGAGATAAATATCTAGTTATTTTCTGACCAATCTTTTAACTTTACATTTGTTGTTATTGTGCAGGAACAGCTGTTCCGTCGTGTTCTCCTCTCTTTGTGACTGATTCATCGTTTCTTTCTTCATCAGAGTTTTTATGTTTCAAGTAATTAATTAATCATCACTGTTGTCTTTGCATTGTTATATAATGTTGTGTTCATGATATAAAAGAAGAGAGCGTTGTTTTGTACTATTTTGTGTGAATATTTTTCTTTTATATATATTGTTGGTTTATTACAATAAATTGGAAATTGTGTTACCTTGGTGGAGATCATAGGACCACCATTTACCATTATAGCTTATACCTTACGCATCATTTCATCACCAATAAATTGGCCCCATTACTTGGCACCATTAGCGCTACCCACGAGGATCACTACGTACTCACACCCACCGGTTGTTATAACTTATTTTGATATGACTACTTATACTATATCTTATTCAAATCATCCAATTAAATCAATTGAATTGTTAAGACTTTAGAGATTTTCATTTTGCGGATTAGGACAGATTCATACTAATGAATGTATCTATGATGGACTGAGTTTTCTGAAAATTATGAGTCACTAACCAAACGGTCGATTCTTCAATGTATATTCAAATGTATATTGTTTTGCGTTTTTATAAACTAAGGAAAATTAATAAGAATCAAGCAAATATATTAACCAAGGTCAAAGGCGACGTGATACAAAAACAAAAAGAAATCTAACTACAAACAAAGATCATAGATGATGAAGCTCACAGAAAGTTGCTTGATCTCTGATTTGTCCAAGCAATCAAACTAAGGACAAGCTTCAAAAATATTCCTAAAGCTTTCTCTTGCCTTTCAGCAGACGATCAAAACTCAACACTAATGGTCCAAATACAACTCCAAGAGATCATTCCAAAACATCTTCCATGATGAGAGCTTCACACTAATCCTTCTCATAACTTGCTTACTCTTTGAACTGCCATTCTCTTCTGCACATTGGGCAATGAGCTTGACTCGTCTGTGAATTCACCCATTTCAATATACAGTGAAGATGAAACGCGTGATTACAAGCTCCCCAAACTGCCAAAACACCAAAACAATAAGTAAATGTTTAGCAATGGTTTCAGTAAGCAAAATAGTGTGTGTACTAAGCAACATATATAAAAGTGAAGATATGAAAGCAGAGAACTTTACTTAGAGGGCAATCATCTCCAGGAAGTTTGCAATCAGGACAACAACCATCAAAAGCCATCCGACATATCCCACATGTTTCGTCTTGAGCATCCCATGTCCATGAAGCAACTGCATGCCATCTATTCCAGGGAGAAACAATAAGTGAAACAATAACAACTCCGCATTGTAAGAGCTCATGTGTTAAAGATAAAGGGACGAGGAACTTACTCTGTTTTTTTGGGTATGTAGGACAGAGAAGTAGCATAGAAAGTCAAGAGCAACAATTTTTTCTTCTTTTACTTGTGCAACAAATCCAAAATGCATACATTTTGTGAACTTATAAGCATCAGTTACACCAATCACAAGGATCCTCATGAAATACATATTAGTAAGTTATCAGCAACGATTATCAGAATTAAAAAAAAAACAATGGAAAATGCAAAAAGTTATTATGAATCATCAAGCTGGAAATCTAACTCGATAAAGCTAATACACGATAAATAGACTCAACATGTTTACTTCTATATCAGATGATAACCATCAAAAGTCATGGGGTGACTTATCACTTAACCTGCAACCAAAGGCAGCCTAAAATAAACATGCCCACAGAAAGCTAAGAAGATGAAGCAAAAAAAGGATACGCAAGATCTTGACTTTCATGGCTTCCTCCTGGATAAACAAAATCTTCAATAAGTTTCAACAAAAGACCGTAAAATTAGAGACCTCTAACAAAAGACTATCCAAACAAAAACTGAAGGTATAAGTCTTATGTGCAACACGTATACAAGACTTATTCGAAAAGTTAAGCCTTAAGATCAGATAAAAATCACATAAACCAAACCAAATCAAAGGCAAAATATGGAATGTACGAATTGAATATTATCTCTTCCAGGCATTTAGTCGAACAACTGGTATGCCAAAATCAAACTTAGATCAGTGAACACCACAGAATCATGGTACTGAGAATGAAGAACGATCATCAGTATCAAACGCAGACTAACTAAGTTCCAAGAAACGGAATTTGCTTATAACTGCCAATTTTGTCAAGAACTAATTATCTCAAACCGGGACCAAATTACAAAGTCGGAAAACAAGATAAACAAGAACATACCTAAGAAAAAGTCTGAAACTTTCTCCGCCCAAACACTGAAGATCGATAGATTCGATACTGTAACCGAACGACGAAATCGAAATTGAAAAATTCTTCAACGGGAAAGAAAATTTGCTGGCAATGGCGAGAGGATCGGACTTGGGAAGAGCAAGACGAAACGAAAGAGAAAAAGAGACGGACGTGTTCCATTGCTTATGGGCTGAGAAACATATTGGGCTTTAAAATAAATAGCCCAAATAAAGGATTTGTTTTAGTTATCCATGAACGAAACTTATGATGAGATCATGATGTCACTAATCTCCATATCTTAGGTAATATCTATACTAGTGTATGCAGCTATATATTAATATACATTAGTTTTCGAAGTTAAATCTAAACCTAAACCATTTAACAAAAAAGAAGAAGAAGATAATGCATACCAATCGACAATCATAAGATAACAAAAGTCAATAATAATAATAATCTACAGTCAAAGTATCCAATAAAGAAAATAATTGCAATTATATGTATTGAAAAGGAATCTTTGACCCACTTAGTGACTTAGAAACCCAAATCTTACGAATTTATCACAAATA